ATTATTTAAAATAAAAGTTACCTTATAGCTAATAAAAGAATTTTTCCCTTTCAACCCCTAAAAACCAACCCTGTATTGACAAATATTATAAAAAAAAACATTTTAAAAGCTTGGAATGCTTTAACGGTGCAATTTTTTAAAATAAAAATTCCCTCATTGCTTATGAAAGAATTTGTATCTCATAACACTTTTCAACCCTTATAAATCACCCCTGTGCTAAAAAAATGATAAAAAATTACGTTTTAAATCTTGGAATGCTATAATTGTGCAATAATTTAAAATAAAAATTCCCTTATATTGTTTATGAAAGAATATTTTACTTTTGCCATTTTCAACTCTTATAAACTACCCTTTTACCAATATTAATGTAAAATATTTTTATTATAATCGATTTTTAAATATAATCAATCATAAAAAAATTGCTACGCTGCATATAAATAATCACACTAAATTTTTTTACTTATTTTATTTGTATAATATATAATATAACATATAAAAATGAGAAATCCTATTTTGCTCCGAAAAAATGTCATTGGTTTTTTTACCATAACTCGGTTAATTTTGAAGCTATAGTATCCTACAAAAAAGCATTTTAAAGATAATTTCAAGAGCTGTAAGATCGTTTGCATATAAAACCTTTTAAGTCCTTCGTTTTTTAAAGGGAAAGGATCGAAGGGCTCGAGACAGGTCGTTTTTTCACTAAAATGGATACTTCAAGCGGCGATATCTCCTTTATTTTTTATGCTATAGGAATAAAAAAAGCAAAATATTTGTTGAAAAATGCTACATTTTTGTTGTCTATCATTTTTTACGGATCTCATAACTTCAGAGTTATTAAATATATAAGGCAATTTTTTTGTGAATAATGAAAAATACGTTTTAAAATTTTACCGTACATTATTAAAAAAATACGCATTCTAAACAGGTCTAACTTCAGGATCGTATGAAAAACACTAAAACAAAACTAATTGTAAAGGGTCTACGAATGGTACAGCGTTTACTGCTCATTTTTCCTTAAAAAATATGAGCAACCCATCTGTTTTTGACGATAACTCCTTCAATTTTGCTCTAATTAACTTTTATAAATGCTCATTTTGAAGGTCTTTTTGAGTACTACAAAAAACTCCAGGAGCGTTATACACGTAAAATTAATCCTTTTTCCGTTATTTGACGTTGAATACATCGATTCGAGTATCCCCCCCAAAACAAGTCCCCTTTCACTAACCATATTTCGCTTTGTATGGGACGTATATACAACACGATTTTCTTTGTTTATTTATAAGCTACATTTTTGTTCATTACACTTTTTTTAATAAAATGCGTAGTTTTTGAGTTATTCGCGAAAATTACTTTGAAAGTGTTATTTTCTCTCAAAATTCCAAGGTTTCAATCCATTTTCTTTAGTTTTTGTTATATATGTCTTATTTGATTGCTCGCATTTTTACTGACAGTAAGTCCAAAAATATTCTCTCAATCACATCCACTTGCGATTTTTTTTTGTTTTGGATCTACAACAGCTGTTTTAAAGAAAAAATTAAAAAAATTTAAGGAGATCAAAAAATGAGATAAAAGTTGAAGGATATAAAAGTTTAAGGAAATAAAAGTGTAAGAAGATAACATTAAAATATTCTTCGTAAATCCAAATTTCTCTAAATAGGATTTTTAAACATTTTTTAAATTTACTGTATTTTTAAAAAATAATTAGTTTGGTTTAAAAAGTAGTAAGTCAAAATCCTATTTGAATTTCCACAATTTTTATAAGGGTACTTACTGTTTTACATAATTTAAGACATTTCAATCATCAATTAATACGTATTTAAAACTAAAATAAGAATAAAATAAACAACAGTGTTCCTCATATTTTAGATTCACCATATGTCGTTGAATATACAGTTTCAATATATAAATATTACTTACTTCTATGTAAACATACAGAGTACTTTAGTCTTTTATACGATACAATATTCCGATTATACGCATTTTTTACGAGCATAGAAAAGTCATACAATACCTACATAATGTTACAATTCATTTGTTTGTTCAAGGTACTTGCAATCAGTTATGTTAGATGTTATAGTCAAACGCTCTTTTGCGTTGCAAAATATTTCAAGAATTCAAGGAAACCTCCCCGCCTGATCACCAGCGCATTCGCCATTTTTTGAAAAAGAGAATGTTAACTTGCCTCATAAAACAGAACATTTTACAAGCAACAGTTGAAAATTAACAGAACACTCCTGTATTAAGAACGTCCTCTAGAATACAAGGTGCTTCAGTTCACTTACCTAAAGCATGTATATACAGGTTGTCCCGAATTGTATAAGCCATGGTAGTAGAATTCCTCAAAATTTTAAATTATAATATTCTTTCTCCTTGTCACTTCATTCCTATTATCATAAAATTATCTGATAACCTAAACCTACATAGGTTGAAAAATAGATACATAGGTTTAGTTTGTTGACAATTGATTTTCTATATTTGACCTTGAACTGACCTTAAACCAGAGCTAATCGTGTCAAACGGACAGCGGATTCGGATTCAGCTACCCCAAAACCATATGGATACCATGGTCTTGTCTTTCGGACCTGCCACTTTTTTTTTGCGGGGCTGTGTAATCATTCATTAGTTATTTGAAAGTATTTATGTTTGCTGTTCTGTCACGACAACATTAAAAATTAGAGAAAGATTTTAAGAAGACCAAAAAGAATTTTATTAATTGTTCTGTTTCAGCTGCAAAATACCAAATCATAGAAATTCAGCTGATAATTCAGATTCTAGGCGAATGTTCCGTGTATATAAAATAAATTTAAAATATTTTATACCTGTAGAACACTGATGACAGTACCAATATTGATTATATTTTTACGTAATGTTCTTGAGAATGTAAGAAAATCGCAAATATCTGAGAAAATTGAAACTGTAACCCCTACAATGGCTATATAGGTGAAAAGATAATTTGACTTTCTATATATGGCGTAAAAATGCAGGGTGTTCGATTTGAATTTAAAAAGTTTTGTCGGTTTTAAGTTTGCAAAATGTAACGTAAAAAATGGTTCACTTGATATAATTTTCTTCAGGTGATTTTCATAGTGAAAGGTAGTGCATACTATGGTCCTTGTGTATTCCGAAAAGCAACTGAAAATTTTCAGAACGAAAAAAGTTATAAGAAATTTTCGAAACGCTTGCATTTGTCAAAATTTTTATAAAATGTCGATTATCCCGAAAACGATTAGATTTAAGTACAGGGAAGCTTTCACAATTTTTACTTATTTTTAATTTCTCTTGTCCATAATGCAATAAAACACAGCAAAAAATTGAAGGAGCAGAAAAATTTTCAAAACTATTTTAGTGATTTTTGAAAAGCTGTAAAGCTTGAAGATTATTGTTTTGAAATTTTGAGATGAAAAATTTTATTTGAGCATCACTGACTTTTACTCTATATGTATAGCTACTTGTCACCTCAAATATTGAAATTTTGATTTTAAAATTTGTATTAGGACATTATTTGAGGTTATAAACAGATTTGTTTAAAATTTGTAAAAATGTGTAAAATCTTTTGAGTATGTTCGTGTTTTTTTTAAATTTATGAGCACCCTGTATATATAATCTAAGATGTTTGTATGACAGTCTCATTTTTTTGAGGGGCAGAACTTTCTATTAAGAGTGACATTTTTCGATAAAGTCAAAAACAAAAAAGTTTCTCCTCTTGTCAGCTCCATCGTGGACACACTGTATATACATTATTAATAAACTTTATTGTACTTAAATTCTCAAGTTTTTACTAAATTATTTTATTAAAAAAGTAAAAAAAATTAAAAAATCTTAATTTTTGCCTTCTTTAAAATTGTTTATTAACGATTTTTTGCATAAATTTTTTTTTTTAATTTTTTAAATAAGCCACTTCGATGGAACATTCAATTCTCTACAAAATTTGTCATATGAACTATACCGAAATTTTGCTTCGTTTTCGTGCTATATTTAAAAAACTGCAAAATTGCATTTTCGCCCCTATCTTCAATTTCAACCCTCTAATTTAATAGCACCCCGCGGTTTTTTCATTTATAATGACCTTTCGAACAAATCACGTGATGAAAATCCTTGAACGCCTTATTTTCTTCCTTTTTTGCAAAAAATGAGAATTAAAACGTATAAGGGTAAACGCCACGATAATCGAAAAATTGGCTAAGTTTGAGCGGTCATATATCAGTCAATTTTCATCCAAAAATACTGTACAACCTCTTGTTTTGAAGAAAATTTTATCTACTTTATTTTCTATGAAGTACTGCCTATACCTATCTTTACTGAAAAAAAAACTAGAGGCAAAAAAGTAAGAAAAATCAGAAAATCGAATTTTTTACTTTTTTTCAAATTGTTTATTAACGATTTCTTTGCATAACATTTTCCTTTTAAATTTTTTAAATAAGCTATTTCCATGCGAAATTCAATTCTCTAAATAATTTTTCCTATGAACTATAGCGAAATTTTACTTCGTTTTCGAGCTACAATTAAAAAACTGAAAGGAGTGCATTTTCACCCCTATCTCCAATTTCCACCCTCTAATTTAATAGCACCCCCACGCTTTTTTCATCTAAAATGATCCTTTGAACGATTCATGCAATAAAATTGCTTGAACGTCATATAGTTCCTTTTAACCCTGTTTTTTGGATATATTCAATAGACTAGACAATAAGTCCATTTCTTGGGCAGGCCCATTTTGAGCGCCAATGAATTACCCCAAGACGGAAACGGTAAGGGTAAAATAGGCGAGGATAGGCGATCTCGGCTAGCGCTGCGAGCGGGAGCATGCGTATTCGAATTTAAAATAGTCGCTCCCGCTTAAACCAGTTGATATAAACTGGGTAGAAAGAACTCGCCACATTTGAATGTCACCGGCTGCCAAGTGCAAGTTTAATTGTTCACTCGACCCGGAGGAAACGCTATCAGAGAACCGTAGGGCAGCCGATGACGATCGCGTGCCACGCGCGCGACACTACACCGTGAAAATGGTCGCGAGGAATTTCCCAGTGCAGGACATCTCCTACTCGCGGCTCCTCCATGTCCCAGACGAGGAGCGGGGTTTTATCACCCTGGAGGAGCTCAAGCCGGCCATCGTGCAGCAGGGCTTGCAGCAGGAGTACCAGCCGAGGTACTACGAACTGACCAGCATGGTCGAGTAAGTGAGATCGGGGTGCGGGGGTCGACGGGGTGGTTTTGTGTTCGCATAGTTCGTTGTTGACCGTTCAAAAAGCTTTGTTAGCTTCTTTAAACGTTTAATTTATTTTCAGAGATCCCTGCTCGTCCAGTCTCTCGTACCAAACCAACACTAACTCTGGATCTGGTATGATGGACGTACAACAGGTGGATAGTTCTTTGAATGGGTCAGGCAGAAAACGAAAGGCTTCCTTTCAGTAAGTTTGATTTCAGTGTCTATTTATTTAATACCAAATTTAGTTATTAATCTCCAAACGCTTGTCTTTATATTCGATGCGTTCAGGTAATACTGTCCTGGATAATTTGCCTTCAAATGTTTTTAGGTAATCAAGTCGACAAATTTAACTACCCTGTGTATTACATTACAATTTAATGTAAATTTATCAGTAACAAAAAAAATACAGATTAGAACATCCTTAGCGTCGATTAAAGAAAAGTCTTCACTATAAAAACCTTAGGAGAACATTATGAGATTTATATATTTCTAATTATAAGAAAAACCTGCAAATGCATCAAAAATTTAAAATATACACGGAGTTCCTTTAAAAAAAAGAAACATAACTTACATCTAGAGGTCATAATATGAGATGTTTAATGGATCATTCAAAAATTATTTTTTAGAACGGTTGTATGACTTTCAGAGAAAATTTGTTTACTAAAGTGAAACAATCTAAGATAAATGAGTGAGATGTAATTGTTTTGTGTCATATTTTAAATTTCCCTGCTTAATTAGTTCCATTTTTGCGACAAAAATATTTGGCAAGGACTGATTTCTATGAAACTAATTTTGCTTAACAAAATACTTCAATATTTAACCACCAATGTCCATTTTTTCAGTAGCTGATTAATAATGTCCATCTTAAAGATAAACATCCATTTTTTTCTGTTATACTTTTGTCAAGAAAAACGGTTTTTTAAAAAAAATTAAAGTTACCTTAACGAAAAACGTATAGGAATTTATATAACTTCAAGCTTAATTTTAAACGTTGCTAATCTACAAAATGTCAAAAAAAAGTGTGAATTATGTTACTGTGGTTAAAAAATTTGATATTAATGTTTATTTTCGTCGTCGAAACTTTGAATATAAATGGCCCACAAGAATATATGCAGATAATAATTTAGGATGCATCTTTCTTCCTTAAGTAATATCTGCAAGAACAAAAGGATATACGTAGAAAAGCTATATATAAAAAAAATAGTGATACAAGATTCAGAAGTAATTTTGGCGGGGGTATTCCTCATAGTTCTAACTTATTGGGAAAATTTGAAGTAAATAGATTCGAGATAAATATACCAATTTTTTTTGTTGACAAATAAACAGGCTGTAACTAAAACGCTTGACAAAACTTTAATAGCGGCTTCTTCATATCATATCAACAAAAAAATTTCATGATTCTGGAAATGGTGTGTTTTTAATATACACTGTTGCAAAAACTGTTATAAATAACAGTTAAGTTTATTCATAAATACTGTTGTTAATTGAAAAGCAATTATTTCATAAATAATTTGAAATTTTATAATTTTAACAATAATTACATGGTGGACAGCGTGTAACATTTTATCATTTACCTAAAACGAGCCCTTCTGGACATTTGTTTATAAGAATTTTTTTGTTAATTAATAAAACATGCAAATTAATTTTTTTTTTCATATTTTGACTAGGTACTAGTATTACCAGTCCCCCCCACTTTGTTACTCTGTTTTTTAATACCCTGAATTGGATATTTAACGAAGAAAAATATGTTTTAAATTTTTCTTGTCTGAAGAATATTTAAGGAGCTTTTATGACTTTTAAAACTGAAAGTTTTATAAAATGAAAATGTCTGTTTAGACTTAACGTTTCGATTTCGAATGACATATCGCTTTTATCTTCAGAAAAAACTCTGAAACTGAAACAATTGCAATAATCAAAAGGGACAGGTAACATAACCATTAGGGTGGCCCAAAAAAAAACGATTTTTTTTTGTGTTGTGAAAATATATTAATTTATCATGTTTTAAGAGCCCCTTCAAAAAATCAACTCAAACAAATTTTTTTAGAGGTAGCTCAATATTTTTAAAAATTTCCAAAATCGTCAAAAATAGATTTTTAAAAATTTTCTCGTTATTTTATCATTTTCTAGGTTGAAAAAAATCTCAATTCCAAAAATTTCAAATTGATATTTTAATTTCTAAAGGTCACTCATAATTATTTTAACTTTAAAAGTAGTGAACCCAAAAATTTTTCGAGCGACCTCTAAAAATAAATATCAACGAACTAATAATTTTTTTTATTGAATTTGATGAACCAAAGAATAGAAATCACGAGACACTTAAATTTTAAAAAATTAAAAAAATATAAATATTTGATACTCACAATGCGGTTTGCCTCGAGAAATTTTTGTGTCTCGTGATTTATTTCTATTCTTTTGACAATCAAATTCAATAAAAAAAATATTAGTTCATTGATATTTATTTTTTGAGGTCGCTCGAAAACATTTTAGGTACACTACTTTGAAAGTTAAAATAATTAGGTGTTTAGAAATTAAAATATCAATTTGAAATTTTCAGAATCGAGATTTTTTTCAACCTAGAAGAAAATCATAAAATAACGAGAAAAAAATCTATTTTAGACGATTTTAGTAATTTTTAAAAATCTTGAACCTCTAAAAAAAATTTTTTTGAGCTAATTTTTTGATGAAGCTCTTAAAACACGATAAACTAACATTTTTTCACAAGAGACACGAGAAAAAAAAATCGTTTTTTTTGGGCCATCCTAATAACCATCATCATAACCATTATACTGTAAAACATGTTTAATTTCCCGAGAATTTTGATATAAAAACGTTATTACGTACCCTGATTTTCCTGGAAACATTGGCACTACGAAACGTGTCAGAGGACTACAATTGTCTAAGGGGCCGTTTCGTCCGTAGTGACCTTAGAATCCACAACAATGACTGATATTAACATCAAGGTAGACCTAGAGGTTCTGATAGTGAGTTTACTCCCACAGAGCCTAGACCGAGAGCAACACAGGAAGGTTAAAGATTCCTAGCTACGACTAATTTTTTCTATTACCATCACTCTTTCATACATTTTCCAAAGGGACAAAACGAAACCGACGCATTTTTATCCAAGGTGGCTATGAAAAGATGGATCCCACGCAACCCATTTGTTTCCGACTCTGTGTAATTAATTGAAACATTGCCTTATGGGTGATTGTTAAGTTTTTATTAAGCGGCATTGTTCTCGTCGACTACTGTGACGAATCCACCCAAATGCGATCATATAACCAAACACCCTACAAAACGCGAAAAAGTGACTTTAATGCTGGGTCCGGAACAATACCAAAAACTGGCGAACTTCTGGAAATCTCGAAGAGAGCCGGAGAAACCGCTCAAAACGCGTTTGTGTACCGACAACTCGATTTACACGCGTTGTTCGCGAAATGTCACAGCTTGAATTCTTATAAGTGACCTTTAAGTTTCAGCGTTAATTACTCGGTTGCGCGGGGGAACGCCGTCGACTCCTCACAGGGTGGAAATTCTTAGATGTTTGCCTAAAGAGTGTGATTACGTTCGCCGCTTTGGGAAATCCAAAGCGCCATAGGGGCTTCTGCTATAATTGGGGGGCTTCTATTTAGTATACGTTTCAGTAGCGCTTGATCTACACTATATACAGCTGCTATTTACAGTATTTAGCTAGTTATTACGATTTCTGAGACGTTCGGTTGTAGAAAATTAATTATATCCAGCGAAAACCATGTGATTACGTAAGTGACCTTATTTATTAATAAAATGTACCTATAGGAGGTATCGGAGGTATCGATTTATATTTATAGATATGTGTAGGTATCAAATAAGGAAGAGACACACTCATAAAAGTTTTAATGTAAAATTACACACTAAATATTTAGTTATTTTGACTTCTATCTCCTTCTTCTTTGATTAAGAGAACATTAAACTGAAAACTGAAAATAAAGTTGGTCTTAAATAGTAAGCTGATGTTTATCATGCTCTTTAATAACTTTTAAAGAAAATATATCGAGATATTTACGTAATTTACGTATTATTTACTTATACTACAGTAGGTATTTATTCATAACATTGCCTATATTTAGGTAGTTAAAACATTGTTCTACACTATTACGCCACAAATGAATCTAAACATGCCTACCGAACAACTAGCCAGTTCTCTGCACATGCGTGGTAACACTGTCAACACACCGGATGACCACATGATCAATCTGATTGGTTGAGCCAAACCAGCTCATGCAAATTCACTCTTTTATTTCTATATTTACATCAAATATCATAAAAACACATAAAAGATTAGGAATAATACATTTTAAAATGTAAAAATGCAATGTAAGAGATTAGTTCAAGTCTATTACACTTTTTTGTGTACAAAAATGCTCCGAATATTGTTACTGACTTTTACTCATCCTCAAAGAAAATTGACCAAGCACAAATTATTTTATTGGATATCTGCAAAAGAAATTTCACTACTACCTACTTTAAAAGTATTTTTAACATTGATTTTGATTAGTTAATACGAGGTTTCATTTTTGGTCACCATTTGTGAATCACCCTGTACATATATTATAATTACCAAATCTTTATATGCACGGAAATGAATTTGTAATTTTCTTTCAGGACAATAAACATATAGAATAACAATATTTTAGCTTCTCAACTTGAATAGTGATGCGTAATTTGTAAATAAATATAAGATTCTGTTCTATTTTGGAGGATGATTAAACTTGCATAACTATATCCTCTCACTTACAAAGATCAATGAAAATTCTCTAATCCCGTTATACAATCTACGCGTGCAATATTACGTTTCTAAGTAGGTGTTAAAACATTATTTCTGGTTATATTATCTATTTATGATTATATTATTTAAAACAATAAAAGAAACCAATTTATTTCGAAAAAAACAACGGTATAGTGAAGAAGAAATTTATAATCTTTAGATGTAGATGACTTTTTGGAAAAATGAATTCGCTGACACTCCACCATAACTCTAAATTTTAATTAAGTTAAGTAAAAAGCTATCTAACCTTTAGGGTCTGTATACACCACACTGTTATCGACAATAAATGTTTACCGTATTTTTTAATCTTTCGATGTAAAAGTTATTACATAAGGATTGCAAATAACTGATGGTTTTTTATTGTTAGATGCAACAAATATTTATTAACTTCAGATTGCTTGAACAAGTCAATATCTAATTTGGTAGGGTGGATCAAAACATGACGGTAGTGGTTTACTGCAGATACGACATTGACATTTCTTTCATTTTGTTTCAGTGACACTAGTGATATGGAAGAGGATGGTGGTGAGGATTCGAAATCTGTAAAAACCAACGACGAAAACAAAAAGTAAGTAAAACCTGATAAAAAAGTTTTAGTACTTAAAACAGTTATGCGCAGAGATATGTTTTCCCATCGACGTATGGAAAATAGTGAATGTCGATAGATTTTAATTACATAATAATACTGTTAACGACATGCCGATAAAAACAATTACACAAAAAATTAAACCAGTAATTAATTATTGTTGTATCTATTGAATAATTAACAACTTCATGTATTTATCCGGTAGGTGAAGTTGTCGGACATTTCTTTTATGACTTCTGCAGGATTCAAAAACATCAAACATTCATCAGTGTACTTTATTTGTTGGACAATAACTATACTTTCATTTCTTTCATATGCGGTTTATTATTTCTTAGAAATGTGACATTAAATATAGAATATAAAAGCAATGTACAAATGTTATTTACCTGATGACGATTGTGGATAGGAAATTTAAATATCGTGCAAACAAGATATTGTAACATTAGGTATATACTGAAAATAGAAATGTTCACCTCATTCTTCTGAATCTGATTCTCCTAAATCTCCATCAGATGCTTCTAAATCGGTGAACGGTTCTGACAGCCACAGTCAAAGATCTGAATACATTAACATCTTGTTAATCAGATCTTTGATTGTGTGAACTATTCTTTTTGTTTCTAGTCTCTTGTAAGTACTTCTTGTATTGGAAGAGTACAAGAAGTGTGCCGTAATATAAAATTTTATGTATCAGCAGACAACGTTCGTTGTTCATCTACAAATTATTTTGGTACCTGCTGATGCTTTCGACAATTCCTTGACAGTTTTGGTCGAGTTTATTTTTCTTTGATCACGCATTTTCCTTTCAATAGCTTCTAAGGAAACTGGCTCAACGAAGGGTCTATGTTTTCGCTTTTTTATTTTTTCGCTACACTCGTAGAAAGATTTTGTAGGACAAAGATGGTTTGTCTTTAGAAGCTGATGGTAGTGATTGACAAAGTTAACTTGGTGTAACCATTCCGTATTACTTTTTACAAACCAATCGCGATCTCTACGGCATTTACTCCATTTTATTTCGATTTGCCAGCAAAGACTTCTCAAAAAACACCTTTAAATTGATGAGAACCCCTTCGAGTTAATCCACTTGATCAAACAACGAAAGGAGTACCTTCTCGGTCACAATTAGAACAGGAACCTCTTCTACAATTAAAGCCGTTATTAAGATTTTTCATTTTATTACCGCTAGATGGTTAAAATACCACACCGAGCGCCAGTCCTATGTTTTTATTGCGCAATTAGAGGATAACAACCAAGTCTGTCGTGCATTATGTAATTCGCGATGCTGAAAAGCAACAGTGCCGGAGAGGATTACCGCATTTATCGAAGCTGACGTAACGGAAGAAGCCCTACAGGTTCAAGGTGGTCAGCATTTGCGTTTGCCGTAAAAGTTTCATTTTCTAGGCCGCCATGAAATGTCACGAATGCATTTTTACAATCACGCCTACAAATCGACTGGCTGCTATCATTGAAATTGCAAATTAACGCAACTACGAGTCGTTTATTCCGATAAAAATCCGCAATCGCGCATAGGAAGGTTAAAGCCTTACCATGCAATGGGAATGTGTTACCGTTATTATTCAATAATAATTATGAAATCAAAAGTGGTCGGGTAATGTAATGTTTTATCCGGCGATTAACGCTGTTATTTAATACGGTTGAAATGAAACGCATTTGCTCGGCAAGAGTAACAAACACCCAATTTTTTTCGTATCCAGGAATTAATCAAGAGTTTTTTAAGAAGAAACGAATGTTTCTCTGAAATAAGAAGAGAAAATAAATATTTAATCTATGATGCGACTAATAATTTAGCACGAACTAATTCTAAACTATAAACACAAATAATAATTATTGTTATAGCGACAATCAATCATTAACAAACACGAGGAATAACAAGAACCCTAAATTTGAACCCTGTGGAATACCACACGTAACTCTAAATTTTGATCAACTGAAATCTTCACACTTAACAGACTGCTGTATCTCTGCACGATTTAAGAAAATGAACAAAGTTATTTGATAACCCAATACTATCAATTGATACGTAGCAAAAAATGTGTAGTCGCAGTTGGGCAAATATTTTGCTAATAACCATTTCCATAATAGTGTTAGGGTTTAGTGGGTCTACAGGATATAATCAAAATAATGCACTATAACATGTTTGTGGTGCATTTTCTGTACCATGTGCTTATTTTTAGGCAAAATCATAGCGAGATAGAGAAACGCCGACGGGACAAAATGAACACCTACATCACAGAGCTCTCCGCCATGGTGCCCATGTGCCATGCGATGTCCAGGAAACTGGACAAGCTGACGGTGCTCCGAATGGCGGTTCAACACCTTAAAACCATAAGAGGGGCCGTGCATTCCTACACTGAGGGACACTACAAGCCATCTTTTCTATCGGATCAAGAGTTGAAACATCTAATACTGCAGGTAGATCAACTTTTTTAAATTAAATTGTATGGTAGAGTCTTTCACCATTTGGCTGACAAATTTTATACTGACAAAGATGCCCATAGTGATTCTCGACCAGATTTATTGAATATCCTTTGGAATGACATAAATAATAAAAAGGTGAAGCTTTAATCGAGAATAGCTGTGGACGAAAATAATTTGAAGGTCGAACAAATGAACAAACACCTTCAAATCCATACCGTATTTTTTTTTGGCAAACATCAACTGAGGGTTTTATTAATCTTCTTCGTTACTATATAAAATATGTGTTCCGTTGTCTTCAGAAGAGTAGACGACACCCACCTCCTTTATAAAAACTTATTTTTTGTGCCATTGCCACTATCCCGATCATTTAAAGATTCGCTTATCAATTCAAATGTGTTGTAACTTTTCAATAGATGTTCCTAGAAAAATTGATTGCAAATCGGCTTGCAGTTCAATCCCTGAACGGTTATATGCATTATTTATGTGGCGGGTGTGGGACAAGAGGTGTGTTAATTGCTTTTACTTATTTATTTATCACCGGGATAAATTTAAAATATGTTCAACAAGTGGAACGGTTCATATTCGTCACACCTTGTCTCAGGTTACTCTGATAAATTGTCGGATATGATACGGCGTTGCAAATAATCGCTTTTAATTTTAATAAAATTGCAATAGTACTAGTTCACCAATTAACAATCACAGAAGCGCTTATATAAATTAATTCTCTTCCTATAAAATAATCAAAACAATAAGAGTTTTGTCTCTGTGGGATTTGCCTCTTTTATATTACTGAAATTCCGAAAGCTTCATCTAAATTTTAACAAACAATATGACTCAAAGAGAAAAAATATATTAAAATTTGTTATAAAAACACAAAACCTATGCTGCCGAAATAACTATTGTCTAATGAAACTCTCGTAGCGAAAACTGATTCTTTTCCCTTCAACTTATTTTAAAGGCTGCAGATGGGTTTCTTTTCGTTGTTGGTTGCGACAGAGGGAGAATTTTGTACGTTTCCGAGTCCGTTGCGAAAGTCCTCAACTTTTCACAGGTAACAACAGATTAGACTGACGTAAATTGAGTACTAATTGAGATCTTACTGCAGGGTGATTTGCTAGGTCAAAGCCTGTTTGACATATTGCACCCCAAAGACGTAGCGAAAGTTAAGGAGCAGCTTTCCTCATCCGATCTCAATCCACGAGAAAGACTGATTGACGCCAAAAGTAAGTTATTTTTGTTTTTAGTTAGAAACCGTATTTGTGAAAAACCAACATGCTGAAAGTAGTTAGAAGTTTTGCTTTAAGTACTTGTCTCTTACTTTTTTTCTGTTGTCTAATTAAAAATATGGCAATTAAAGATTTCTCTACTATGTTTTTAAAATTATTAGTGTTTATCGGTTGTACAAGGTGTTTCATGACGAACTACACAAAAGCATGCAGAAATTTTCTCAGTACGGTCCTGGAACTTTTTAATTCTGGTTTCAAGAACTTATTAGTCTTCAGTGGTATATGGTGTGCACAAAAAAAGTACAACAAATAGTTCAGAAGCTAGCCAAAATGAGTTCTAGTAAAAATCTTCTGTTACGGTACATACGTCGTGAAACATCCTGTATATTCTATTCCAATAACACCGATATACCGTTACTTTACTAGTAGACTCGTTCACTTGTAATGTATGCTTTAATTAATGTAATATTCATGTAGACATATCGGAATAATAATGAGATTACCTAACATTTTCATTTTATATCCGTTAACAATATGGCATTTGCCATTTGTATTCCATATAGAGAAGCTTTCAGATCTTGTATTGAAAACACTACAGATTGGAATATGCCCAAACAGTGATTAGTACTTTAAGTGATAATAATTATCAAATTTTGCCGCACTAAAATTTGGTGTGACCTCAGGTTTAGCGCAACAACCTCACGTTTTTTTCAGCTATATTTGTGGGGTGTTATTTTTATTCAAAACTAATATTTTGGTTCAAGTTAAAAGATAAAAGACTAACTTTTTCATGTCCTTGTTCTGAAAATAAAATATAATATACTGGGTGTAACAACGGCAAACTTTCAGTTTCAAAACAAACCGAAAAAACAAGAAAATATAATACAGGGTAGGAAAGTACCGATGGTCTATCTGAAGTTACGTGAGAGCGATAAAGTAAGCCATAGAAATCCATGCGATAGAGAAGGATGGCTATAATGAAGGCCTCTCATAGTCACCGCCCCTTCCACAAATAAGATCCACTTCTTATTTGTGGAAGGGCGAAATGGGCGTTGACTATTAGGCGCCTTCATTATAGCCATCCTTGTCTATCATATGGATTTCTATGGCTTACTTTATCACTCTCACGTAACTTCTGATAGACCATCGGTACTTTCCTACACTGTATATCCTAAAACAATTCCCAAACTAGGATTCTTCAAGTATTACGAGTAAAATATAAAATAAAATTTTCGATCAATTATACCTACCCACGAATCATTGATGACATTGTCTTCGAATTTGGTATAGTGCAATTCCTTCATAGCAGCTGCCTTCGTGTAAAATTTGAATAAAAATGAATCAGTGACGTTTTTGAATTTTGAAGTTAAAGTTAACACCTGTCGGTTTCCCTCTGATTTCAATGCAACTGGTTAGTTTTTATTAAAATTTCCACAAAAGTAACTACCTACTATGAGAGAAAGGAACTAGCAAGCTTGAAGCTTTCTAAACTGTGGATTTCTATTGTTTTTGTTTGTTTTGACGAGAGGTACAAGCTTTGACAGCGTGTTAACGTCGCCGTTACACCCTGTATAAAAACTGGCAAGTTCACCGAATTTCAATGAAAATGTTTCTTCAGCCATGTTGCCAGTAAAAACTGATGTTCCTCAGGGCGCTTCCAGGCTTTGTCCGGGTGCGAGACGGTCATTTTTTTGCAGGATGAAATGCAAAATGTCCGCTCAGATCAAAGAGGAAGCTGATACTACCACGGGATGCCACAGGAGAAAAAAGCATAGTTCGGGTAAAAAATTATAAATTTTACAGTCGCACAGAACTCATGATTGGAATTTTCAGATAAAAAATATAGTGTTATTCAATGTACAGGCTACCTGAAATCCTGGGCTCCGGCCAAAATAGGTTTAGAAGAACAAGAGGAAGGAGACGGGGAGTCCTGCAACCTCTCCTGTCTGGTGGCCATTGGAAGGATACTGCCGCATATCTCGACAGTTGCAAACTCTCACGGCAGACCTAACGTCAGGCAGATTCAGTTTATATCCAGGCACGCCTTGGACGGAAAGTTTTTATTTGTTGACCAAAGGTACTCTATAGAAATTTACATGTTAATTTAAATACAGAGCCTCATAAATCATTACAAGCCACTTGACCACTAATTTTGTTTGAAACAGTAACTTTATTAGCTGCACGTTGGCAACTAAATGTTGGTCCAACAAAAATTACTTTAAAACACAACGTTCTGTTTTACCAGCTCGTAATTGGTATAATTTTCAAGATATTTTATTCAACCAATCGGCGATGAGATTGCGTCGAGCGTAGACGCAACGGTTTGTTACTGCTTATTGTAAACGAATCATTATGACCGATGACGTAGACGGAAGGAAAAGGAATTTGACATTTGTGTATTTTGCACTGTTCTCAGTCAGTAGCGTTGGTTGTTTGCGTCTATTATTTTTATTTTTGCCAACGTTTTATTGTTTCCTTCTGCTCCATATTCAATCGTACATATTCCAAACTAATAAGTGGCTTGCACAGCTAAACGTTTTGGCAGTTCGTCGAATTACTGGTAAGCTATAACAGAAATAAAAAATTTTGAGGTTAGTAACATTTTTATTTCAGAACTCATTATGCCTTTTACTCCGGAACAAGATGCCTTTATTCTAATGGCTCACTTTCGAAGTGGAACTATTAATGCAGATGGATCATGGACATATTCTTTGCAATCCTGCATTGATCAATTCATGACCGAATTTCCAGACGCAAACTTCGACTATGACACTTTCTTGAACCGGAGATGTGTTATTGTCAAAAGGTTTGAGACCAGACACTGCATTTGTAAAGCAAAGTCTACAGGCAGGCCGACTGTGCTTACGAAAAATGTTATGGATGATATACAGCAACGACTGGCTAAAAGTCCTACAAAGTCTATATCTAAATTGTCTGCTGAGACAGGTAATTTTTTTTATTCATGCAAATATTTTAACTTTGACTTCGAGATTGAATTATATTGTAAAATTTCAATTTTTAGGACTTTCAGTTGGAACATGCTATAAAGTTTTAAAAAAATATCGAGAATCTATAAAACATGAATAATAATTTACTAGACTCGTTTTCCACTGACGAAGCGTGGTTTCACGTATCAGGTTTTGTAAAAATCGAAATTATAGAAGCTGGGCTGCAGAAAATTCTCACATTTGTACATTTGTAGAAAGCAGTTTACTTCCTAAATGTTTGGGTAGTATCAAGAAGACGTACAGTAGGACCGATATTCTATGGAATTATAAATGCTGAAAGATATCGAACGCTTATTTTAGAGCCATTTTTAGCACAATTACATGACGGTGAGTTGAAAGTTAGTTTCAGGAAGATGGGGCAACGACGCATAATGCAAGTGCAACAATTCAATTTTTTTTTGGATATTTGAACATGGCAATATAATTTCTGGGTTTGAATTTATTTCATGGTATTTTATTTGTAAGAAACAATCTCTGTTTATTTTATTCTGTAATAAAATAAATAAAAAAAGAATTATGGCTTCACATCATTTTTTTATTCCATATTAAAAATCTGCATATAACAAGTGTGATATTTTCTCCTTTTAATAAGATTAAAAGCATTTCAAAGAAAAAAGGATTTTTCGCAACTTCAACCACTGTTCAGATATAAGGATTTTTAGTTGACGGTACCAGCCGTGCGATGTTGGTTGCCTACATTCGACTGTCACATGGCTTGTAATTATTTATAAAGGCTCAGTGTGGTATGCAGAAATATTAATCTCCAAAACATGTTCTACCAAGAAAGGTTGTGATTAACAAGATCTACAAGATAATTGAAAATTAACGGTACTGACGGTGTTTAGCAGAAACTTAGTTGTTGGTGACCAAATTATGTTCTTTCTTTTAAAGCATGATGAGTAAATTTCACAAAACATGCGTCCCACCCAGTCAGGGGCCTGATTATGTGCTCGTGTTTATCAGAATTAGTCAGTAAAGAATTTAGTTACTTTTTACATGTTCGTTGTGAACAACGTGCAGTCTGGTTTGCCCAATAACTCGCTACAAGTTTAAAAGACAAGCTCATTGCAAATTCCAAAACATCGGGACGTATCCGTGCTTGAATTATCCTTAGAAACAACTTTCTTTTGCAGATCCACCTTAGTCCTAGGATTTCTCCCCCAAGAACTACTCGGTAGCAGTATGTACGAATACTACCACCACGACGACATCCACTCTCTAGCAGAGTGCCATAAAATAGCTCTACAAAGTACGGACAAAGTTACCACTAGCGTTTACAGGTTTCGAACGAAAGACGGCAGTTTCATCAGGCTGCAGAGTGAATGGAGATCGTTCAAGAACCCTTGGACCAAAGAAATCGAGTACCTCATCGGCAAAAACAATTTAATTCTGTGAGTACTAAAATTAAATAAAATTTCGTTCACATTAACTGCATTTTGCCTTTTACAGCTCAGATTTTCGGACTGTCGAAAGCACCGCGGGTCGGTCTGAAGGCATAAGAGAGAATTTTGATTTCTTTGAGCAAAGTAAGGGATTTTACCGTGCATAAACGACGAGTTACTTCAATTACTGTTTTTTTTTTTTAGCTGACGGTAAGGACATGCAACATATAATTAGCACACACGTCGAGGCTAGTAAAATCGGTAGGCAAATAGTCGAGCAAGTGATGGATTCTCAAAGAAGAGGCGGAGAGTCGTCTCCCAGTAGCAGTCCAGATCCCGATCCCGAGTCATCGCTATCGCTACCTCTAACCAGCGCAGAAGTAAGTTGCATTGATGACATGTTAAATACAATCAAAATAGCTATACTTTATTAATTTTTTATTTTTTCAGTCGCACATATCCACCAGCGTGCAGCAGTGCGACAACTCTAGGCAGAATACGATACCGGAGTTCCCAAACCAACAAAACTTCAGTCAAATTAGGAACAACGTTTCGCTTTCCAGCGTATCTACGGATCCAGGTAAGAAAAAGGAAAGATTTCGAATAGAAAAAAAGGTAAAACGAGTCAACCGGAGCATTTACAAACTGTAATTTTAGGGGGGAATTCCGACGAAGGTATAATAGAGATGATGGAAGACGCGGTGCGGGAATCTCCGAATACCGGACCTTCCCTGGATGGGAACGACGAGGCCGCTATGGCCGTTATTATGAGTTTATTGGAGGCGGATGCCGGGTTGGGCGGGCCGGTGGATTTCTCGGGACTGCCTTGGCCGTTACCTTGACCGGAATAAAATTGGAGGAATCGTGCTAGCCCAGTATATACGTATTACCGTATTGGGGACTATACAAAAGTTCGTGTTTCAGTGTCTGTAGGTAAAAGACGGAAAGAGAAACGGAATATGTGTTTAAATGTTCTCATAGGACCACTAGTAAGTTTAAAGTTACAAAAGAATCGATTAAACCAAAGAGAGTTACAGTGATCCACTGCTGAATGTAGGCGGTATCTGTTTTGGTTTGGGTGAATCGTATATCCACGGAGATTTTTGACTTTTTGGCTTTCAAATATCACACTAGAAATGAAAATTTTTCTATGCGCATAAAAAGAACGTGGGTTTAACTTTTGGCGGCACAAAATATGTTAAAAAAATTCGAAAAGTGTCATATTTTTCTTCCTTTTTAATTATGTATCTTTTCAAGAGCTGATTTTAGGCGAAAATGGAAGAGGAAAAAATATTCGTAATTAAATTTTTTACGAAACCTGACTAGTTACAAATCGAATGAATCATGGTTATTGTAAAAATCGAAAAAATCGCCAAAAATGGTGTTAAAAACATTACTTTTTAGGGAATTTTTTTCGAGTCTTTAAATTGGGTGTAGGACCTTCATACTTGGCTCAGAAAACTTCATGTAATGTAGAATCGTCACACCAAATTTCATCAAAATCGGTTCGATAAATTTCTCATAATTTTGCAATTCAGATTTTGAAAAAAAAATAACAAATCGGCCTGCTCGAAATTGAATTGGGGAGTTCAAAACCGCGACGTGCTTAAAAATGTTTAATATCTCGGCTTCTAGAGGTTCTATTTTGATAATTTTTTTTTAAGTCGATGTCTCGCGATTTAGAAAAAACAATTAGCATATTTTCAAATTTTTGTTAATAATTATTGGTCTTTCAACAGTCCGATAACTATTTATCTTTATATTTAATTTTTTTATTGTATCAAAGGTAAGCGCGTAAAGTTATATACTGTTTATCAAAAATCAAAAACAAATTTATTTAAATATTCTAAAATTGTTTAAACAATTATTTTCAAAATATGTCGAAAAATAGTAATATAATGAGTTAATTCTCATTTGCTTATATTTTAAACAATAAATAATTTGAATCACAAAACAATAATAATATTGTTTAAAATATAAGCAAACGAGAAATTAACTCGTAATACTAATTTTCGACATATTTTGAAAATAATTGTTGTTTAAACAATTTTAGAATATTTAAATAAATTTGTTTTTGATCGTAATTCATTGACCAATCCATCTATTCTTTTTTTTAAAAGAAGCGTCTTTCCTAGAACTTCTAAAACCTATTTTAAAAAATTTGATTTGGTTGAATATTCACAAAATTATTCTAAGTACAAAAATTTGACCAATGTTTAAACAAGAGCCAGAGCTCTCCTAATTGACGGATTCGAATTTTTCAAAAAGCGTTTGAAAGCTTGAGAGCCCTTCTGTGATTAAATTTTCAAGTAACTAAGGGCCTTGGTTTTTGCTGTGCAAAATTTTGAAAATTTGCTAATTTTTTTTCAAAATCGATTGCAAAATTATTATGCAAAATCTATCGAACCGATTTTGATAAAATTGGTGTGATGATTCTACATAACATGATGTTTTCTTGGGCCAAATATGAAGGTCCTATACCCAATTTAAAGACCCCAAAAAAATTCCCTAAAAAGTAATGTCTTTTTTGGCGATTTTTTCAATTTTTACAATAATAATCATGATTCATTCGATTTGTAACTAGTCATATTTTGTAAAAAATTTAATTACAAACATTTTTTCCACTTCCATTTTTGCCTAAAGTCAACTCTTGAAAAGATACATAATTAAATAAGAAGACATGTTTCGAATTTTTTTAATATATTGTTCCGCCAAAAGTTAACTCCACGTTTTTTTTTTATGCGCATAGAAAAATTTTAATTTCAAGTGATATTTGAAAGCCAAAAAGCCAAAAATCTCCGTGGATATACGATTCACCCAAATATGTACTTTTTGAAACAGATACCGTCTGGACTAATAGTGGAAAAATTGTGGGATAAGTTATATTTTTAATAGTGATTTGTAAAGTATACCAGTTTCTTTTAGTTTTCTAGATAAAGTTCCTATTATATTTTAAAAATCCAAGACATAACACATGGTGTATATCAGAATTTTACCAGGTGGATTTTAAAAACAAGTTTACAAAGATGTAAGCGCCATCAGTTTCCAATTTTTTTTTCAAATATTTAACAAAGAATATATTGTCAATATTCAACAAAGAAAATTATATCCAGGAGTAGCATCTAGGAAATAAAAGCCATTTACAATTGGAATTAAAAAAAAAATCCATAAAAAATAGAGAGGTTTTTTAATATTTCCAGATTTATGAAATTTTACGATATTCCGGTATATGCCCTGATAATCTTAATCTTTTTGTATAAAATTGTGATCCCATTTATGTACACAGAACCTCACGTTTCTATTTTGTTTTTGCACAAAAAAAGGCATGTAAACGATCGTAATTTTTTTCGAGGTATATTTGTTGTGTACTAGTAAAATTGTTTATTGCTCAGGCAGAAATTTCAACAAATTTTCAAAAAATAATACATTACAGTCTAATATCTGAATTTTTTTGTCCCCTTTAAAAAATATTCTCTAAATTTTTACATCAGATACTTGCATGCCCTAAGATTTTACTTTATATACTCAGTATATGTCATATAGTTAGTTAAATGTATTTTTGTAACACTGATGTTCTACTAAATGGTGCTGTGATTCAGATCTTTATTTTTTGTAAATAAATATTTGTAAAAAATTAAGGTAGTTTAGTTTATCCCGTTACACAGTGGTTGGAAAAAATTTCTTCTCAAAATTACCAAAAGCAAGATTATTCTCGTCAATCCCTTCCTCCCGTTCTGGCTTTCTAAGGAATTTGTACAAGTACTTAATAAACACCCTGTATAGATAAAAATACCAGCCAGCTTTCCAGGCTTTGCATTAGTTTTTTTATTACTGTAATTACATACTGGTGTAAATAAAAATAGACAAAAATATATAAATAAAAAAATCACTACAATTTTAAAACGATAGTTTCCAAAAATTCTAACTAATGCAATTAATCCTTCTTTTTACGTTTCTTTTTTTTATGACCTACATCTGCCTTCAAATCATCTTCAGAGTGATTTGCATTGTTTAGTTCTTCAAATAAAGTACCCTCTTCTTCCTTTCGCTTTTCTTTCTTCTTCTTCGACTTTTTACTTTTAACTTTTTCCTCGACTTCCGAGTCTACTTTTCTCTTTTTAGAAACAGGTTCTTCATCGCCTTCCTCTACATTAAAAATAATTTTTTTGTTTTTTAAGGGCTTTATTTTTGCACTACTCGTTTCAATATCAGCTTTAGATACAATTGATCTAAAATATGATTAATATCAGGTGAATGAAAAAAACTTTATTAAATACTTACATAAGTTCGCCTTTAATATACAGTAGGTATGAAGATACGTCAATGTAAGTTATTTTAAACAGAACCTCATAGCCTATATTAACTGTATCACCTAACCAATCTTCTTCGTCCTTGGGTTTTGGTAGCGATACATTAAACGCATTATATACCAGTAGGCCGACATGGTCTTTACTTTTCCTGTTAACTATGCCTTGCATTTTTTTACCTTTTTCCGGCTTGAAAACATAAAAGTCAGCCATGAGATCATAATGTATATAAGGAGAATCATTGCTGATTGTGCCCATATTAGAGAGAAGTTTTATATTACTATAGCCTAACAGAATTCCGTTTAAACTAAAAGGAACAATAAGTACTACATACTAGTCATACGCACTTCGTTTTACTCACTTTTTGTTATACTTCGCTATTCCTTCATTCAGTAAATCTCTGATGGATTTATTAAAATTATTTAAGTGAATTGGATGTAAGGCTAAGTGGTGTTTAACATTTTGTACTTCTACACCTGAATTTTCTATTTGGGTTAAGCTGATCAAAAACTTTTTGTCAAACTTTATTCCAATTTTAAATTTCCCCATCTTTTGTGGTTCTATCTGTTCAAATTATAAAAACTTATAGAACAAATTTAGGGAATGCACAATCACATTCTATTCACAATATTATCAAATATAATATACAGATTAAATTATTAACATAACCCTACTTTTTCATGTTTTTGATGATATGACGGAACCACAAACCTAGAAAAAAATCTAGACTACCTTAGTTGTATATTCCTAGCGACCTCAAATTCATGGCTAACCTAAGAAGAATAGAACCTTTGTTACTTGCTTTCTATGGTTATAAATAATAGTTATGCTCAATGATATGTATTATATCACTGAGTTATACTCACAAATTTAATTCGTGGTATTTCTATATCTATAATACCTATATTTTTCACTATCTAGATTTATTGGAAAATTTATTGAATTTCTAAAATAGAAGAAATGCATAGATTATATAAATATAGATAGGTAAATTTAAGTTTCGATGGATAAAAGGAACAGTTATTTTAGAAAAGTTGAGGGCTCTATGGAGGGCGTAATAGTACAAAATGTATATGATGGAGGGCTATGAAGAACATCGTTTCTATTTCTAAATTGCCTAGATTGATCTGTCTCCATGAGCAAAACTTTTGTAGGTTCTTCTATTCCATTTAATTAGGCTTCTAACTATTTTGGTTTTAAAGCAAAATTATGTTGCCAGATAATTAAGAAAAATAAAAAAAGGGTTTTGCGGAGACTTATTATGAGTATACATAGAAAATCTATATGATATATATTGCGTTTATTTATTATATACATATGTATTTATTTATTTACGTTTATTCATTGATTATTTCATTTTCCGCTTTCGTTAAATTTATCATCGATCGGGCCCACGTTTTCCACGGCCAACCCTGTTTGTAACAAATTGGCGATCCGGTTAACGTCCAAAGTTGAATCCCTGGCACTGATTTTCTTAAGGGCACTGTTCACAATGCAAAGGTCACCTCGGAGCTCAGAAACAACGGCCGTTATCTTCTGGGCATTGCTTAAAACTTCCACGCTTTGAGTGTAGGGATTGTATCTGAGACCAAATGGTCGCTGAATTTGTTCGGCAAAGGTCCTAAAAATAGTAAAACAGAAAATTATACAGTTTTTAATATACCTAATGGATATGCTGTAGGAGCGGAGCGGATCTAGTGGCATTTCGGGAAGGGTTAAGGCAGGAATTTTGAAAGATGGCGTTGTTATTGAATAAGTACGTACCTCATCTTTTCTTTCGCTTCCTCGAACGAATCCGTGTACCAATATCCAAGCTGAAAATCGGTTATGATGCATTCCTGCTTACAGGTAATGTCTGGGTCGAAACGTTTTACTTTATCAGGGGAATTTATGGCATGATTTAGCTCTGCTACAGAGCTAAGCAATCCAGCACCGTAGATTTTCAGTTCTCCGTCCTGTTTGGCCAACCCAAACTCCACAGTGAAAAAGTAGAGCTATAACAGTTACATAAAATGTTACTGGGCGAATAAATCATTTCGGGTGGGATTATATCGTACAATCTTAACAGTGATAACAAAGAAAAAAAGAAAAAACAAAAAAAATAACTATATACAGAAGATATATCGCATTTGGCTTCTTTGTAATTTGGAAATTGATTGATTATTGATAGAATTGGTTGAATAATAGTAGTCCAGAATTACAGTTTAGATAATTAGTGATAGTAGTAACACAACAGAAAACCTAACCTCAAAATAGGTTATGTCTTAAGTTGTCTATCTATCAAATGTTTGCCATCACTGTGTTCAAGGAATCAATATCCATAACAGCAAATCGCCTTTTTTGTTTTCTGAATTAGGGCATGTTTTTTATCAGTAAATTACCGTTGCCAGTTTGTTAACGTCCTCTTCACAAGCCCCCAATGAGGCCAGTCCCAGTTCTTGAGAAAACTGGGCGAAGCTTGGGTTTGCTAGAAGCGGCATATGTCCTAGTAGTTCATGACAACAATCGCTAGAAAAGGTAAATGAATTAATTACGTTCAGAATTCATTCATACCAGTATAAGTGTACTATCCGTAGTATTACCTCTGTTGTATGACTTCTCTTAATAACACTAATAATTGTAAATAATATCTAATAATATGTAGAAATTCCAAATCATGTCAGTCGTTTAAAAAATACAATTTATTTATTTTTATTGTATAATCAAATTACCAAATTGAATTTAAATGTTGAGTACCTTATCTACCATTACAACAGTTTGATGATCACTGGTTTCTCATACAAATATCAACTGAAACAACAGTGTGAAGATACCATCACTCCCGTTTGGGTTTGTGGTTGGTTTAATTTTATTAATTATTGTATTCAATGATTAATAAATTAAAAATAATTTTAAGCTGAGTTATATTACTTACGGTTCAGGGGTGTAGAAAGGGTCCGATGAATGCCTGATATATTGCGTGCAATGAAACACCCTAAAGGCCAGTCCAGACAGAAAGTCTCTGGGACTCAAATAACCGGCGACGGGTCGCAACTGAAACCCGGTCTTCCTTTTCAGGAACACGTTGACATCTTGAAGCTGGGGGATGTTGTCCTCTCTGTACCCGCAATATTTAACGAGCTGGGGCCAATTTTCTAAATACTCCTTACAGGCGTGCTTCTGGTACAACTTCTGCAGCTCGCGAAGGACGGTGCCCCTTGAATCAATTACCGAGTTAATTGGATTTCGAGTCCTCGGTAAACTTTCGGAAATTGATGTAATTATAACTGACAATTGGGTAGTTTGAACGCTCGGTGCAACTCGTAAGGATATCAATTAAGAATTATACATACTTCTGTGTAGCTAGTAGTATTTGTTGCTAAGGGCTATTCTAAAGTAAATTAGGCAAACGGGAAGTATTTAACCGCTTTTGCTCAAATAAAAAAGTTACAAAAAAAATGCATATTAAGACCTATACATTGAGATCTTTTGTTTTAACACTACGCGGGGAATTATTTTCATATTAGGTTTAATTAAAGTTATATGAATTTGATCCCCAATCTACTTACCAAGTTTTAACTTCTTCAGGAGTATATTTAACTTTTGGGATTGGTTGTCCACTAGAAAAAATATAAATTTGCTGAGTACACTTTTTAATAACTCTTAAATATGGTGGTTTTAAATCGTCCACCTATATTTTCAGGACAACAAAACTATATCGTGTCTACGCTCATAAAAATGTAAAAATTGTTAAGAATATCGCTTACTGTTTATAATTCATAGCTATTCTAAAGAACTGCTCTCTGCGTTTCCGGTACACTGGGTCTTTGAAACCAGGATGGTCGGCATCTAATTCTGCTCCATACATAAGCACGTTTTGGGCGTTGTCGATGTCGGATATCTTTTTGGGAAACCAGGGCATGTCGTCAAAGTCTAAAATCAGAAAATTTAACAGAGAGGAAGTCTTTGATTCTTTGCAAACTGAAATAAAACATCCTGCAGAATTTTTAACTGATGCAGGAAACAACTACCCTGCGGACTAATGTCCCGAACAACATGATCTATATGATTCTTAACTACATATTATATTATATTTTATCCTGTGTCCTGGGCAGGTTTATGAAAGTACGGCGGAAATTTAAAAAATCATGTTGATAAAAATTTCGTATATTTATCGGTATCATGGATAGGTAGAACATATTGGGGTAAAGATAATAATAGTTTAATGGTTTAAACATAAAAACGTAACACTGCTTGTACCCCATAAAGAAAGATCTGAGCATTAAAAGCTGATAGCTTCTGAAAGGCCTGACGAGTCAGATTTACCCTGCGGTATTGTATTATTAATATAATTATCAAAGTTGTTTCGTCTTCATTAATATTTTATGCCCTTAATAGAACCCTTCCACAAAAGATAGATGGCGTTAAACATAAAAAGTTAATTCACATGTTGAATGTTTTCATTTCATTTTTCAATTTGAAAATAAACGAAAAATGTGATCCATAAAATTAATCTAAACATTGTGCATTTACGCTATCAAAAACATTTTTGTAACAAATAAATATTATTTATTCGCACAAGTGTGCTGATGATATACTGGGTGTTTTGCTTAGGGATAGTCACCCTCGTAATTTTTTTATCTAGGGATCGATTTTAACTAACACTTTTTCTGTCAGTTATTTTAGACGTATTTTTTTTAGAAAACGATAAAAATTAATAGATTTGTGTTTGAAGTCACTCTTGAGTAAAAGTTCGTTGGGATTTTTTCCCTAAAGGAGTCATCAATTTTTGCCTCAAAAAAATGAACGTATTTAGCTGTGGCTTTAAATTATAAGGCAAATGAGATATGATTCTTCGATACGCCTTTACGCCATCTATTTAAAAAATCAATCAACTTTGATTTATATGCTAAAAAAACTACAAGGGTGGCTAGCCGTTAGGTAGATGTCATAATAATTTGAAATCCATGGAACTATGCTCTATGAAAGGCTGAAAAGGCAGGAGTATCTACCTAAATTTAGTCTACCGTCATTAAACCAAACTCTTTCATTTGAAATGGAAATCGGTCCGGCATAGTGACCCTTCATCGAGCAAATAGTGTATTCTAGAAGTTTTATGGTTCTGCAATTTATATTCCCATTCTCGCTGACTTTCAATTGACCAATGCTTTCAGCGTCGAATTAATGAATTTCAAATAGGGCCACTTGTTAGAACCTCTCGACTCGAGGGTACTAAATCTGTCGGACTGAATTTGCGAAAGGAGAAAAGCCGAACGTACCGAGGTAATATATCCCAGATGTAGGTGTAACGTTTATTGAATACATATACAGGATGTTCATAAAAAAATTTGCAATTTTTTTTTCTGAATCCACGGACTTGGAAAATTTATTTTCAGCTAAGCCATTGCATGGACCAGATAGCTTGTTTATTCAGCTTCAATTTCCTTTTTTTTTAAATTCGATACGACCATTTTTCATCGAAATATCGGACTTTTAATAGAAAAGTATCCTTTTGTCTTCAATCATCGATATCTGGGAGACAAACGGTCGTATAGAGAATCGAAGGGTAGTTTCGAAAACTGGAATAAATTTCCTATAACATGCTATCGCAACTTTTTGGAAAAAATCTTTTATACGAATTTTAAAAAACAGGAAAACAAGTAATTTATGTTTTTTTCTGGAAATTGACGGCTAAATTAGAAATATTCACGAAATGACTAATGTTAAGCATGACTTTTACAATTCGATATACCCAGAAGAACCATGTGAAGGTTCATCTCGATCTAGCGAACCGTTTCTTTGTTTCAAACAGTCAAATTTTTGAAAAACATGAAGGGGTCAAGTTTTTTGAGCTTAAACACTTCATAATCATGATTAAAATGGAAAAAAAAATATTTTTCCGAAAAGTTGCGGCAGCATGCTATAGGAAATTGATTCCAGTTTTCGAAACTGCCCTTCAATTTTCTGTACGACCATGTGTCTCCGAGATATCGATGATTGAAGACAAAAGGATCCTTTTCCATTAAAAGTTCGATACTTCCATGAAAAATGATCGTATCGAAATTTTAAAAAAAGGAAATTGAAGCTGGATAAACAAGTTATCTGGTCCATGCAATGGCTTAGCTGAAAAAAATTTTTCCAAGTCCGTGGACTCGGAAAAAAAATTTTTTTGTCACACTGTTTCTTAGAATTGTAGGATAACCGTAATTCCTAAAAAATTTGGACCAAAAGATCTAAAAACTAGAATCTTAGATCTTCAAAATGCTTCTTTTTTTAATTCGCGATACGACCGTTTTTCACCTAAATACAGTCTGTCAAAAATCACGGAGAAATTTCGGAAACTCTTTTGACCCTTTAATTTCTTGCAATAGTGAAATGAATTTTTTTTCCTTATTTTTTAACACGTACAAATTATTTTTTGATTTGCTTTCATTGAACTTTAGAAAAACAACGATTTTCCTTTCCTTTTCCCTTTTTCTTCATAAAACGTTGTATTGTTTCATTCACTCCGGACACACTTTAGTAAATTCTCTATAAAGCCTTTGTCACGACTTCAGTAGATTGCTGCATTCTGGCAAAGCAGGTCTTCAAAACCGCGCTCGAAACCCACGCTATATTTAGCCCATAAAGTGGAGTTTAACACTCCGTAACTTCATTACTCAAAGGGCCTGTCTAAGTATACACAGCAATATAACGCTCAACAAAGCAAAATACTGATATTGAGAATATTTTGTGATTATTTTTAATTAGTATTTGGTATTTAGTTTTATTACAAATTGATTCACTGACTTTCGAAAATTTTATTTCGACTTACCGAAACTAGCAGTCGCTGAAAGAGGAGTAGGTGGTGGGAATTCATTCTCCTCCCCACTTCCGTAGCTACCGATGACCATGGTCAACACTTCTCTCTTCAAAAGTCTTCCCATCTGCTCTAGCTTGCGGGGTTCGCATTCGATATCTACCAAGAAGTCAACCTAAAAAACAGTGCATGAGAACAGTTTTCTAGCGTCAGCAAATTGGACAAGAAATTGGAGACAGAATCTAATTTATTGAAAAATGAAAATGAGTTATATTCTACAATTATGATTTTTTTTTTGTTAATGATATGATTTCTAGCATAAGTTTGTTGCTGTTACATTTTCAAAAAGTTGGCCAATTTATTGTGGCATATCTAAAGTTGCCACAAACGACTTAGAGTAAAAATATTTGAATGCAGAACCTTTTACAAATAACAAAGAATTGTGTGAACAAAATTTTTAATTCTCACCTGATTATCACCGGTCTGGGAAGGTCTTGATTCGATGTGCTGCACGTTGATACCCAAATCTTGAAGCGCTTGGAGGGCTCTTACTAAACCACCTACTTGGTTTTTCAACGTAAATATGATGGACAGCCTTTCTTTTTCAGCGTCCTTTGACTGCGGTTCCTCTCCAGACTGCGAAGGCTTTGAAACATCAAACAACATCGATTACAACTATTTTGACAAAACAACAATTTTTCAACGCAGGAAAAAAAGCATGCGGCCAAAATTTGTAAGGTAACAAATACTTGCGAAAACAACATAGCCCCAATGTTTATTTTTTAATGGAATAACCTGCGCATCTCTCATGATTACAGTGATATAAGGCTGATGGTCCTATCCCTTACAATAAAGGAGATACGACCAAAAATATGTGCCATAAGCACAGTATGAGCTTTTTTAAGAGTGCCAACCGGAAATAATATAAGAGACAATTTATTGGTTCATTTTAAATATTAATTTGCTTTCTACAGTCCCAAAATTTAAAAGTACAGATAAATTGTTCTACTAAAAATCAACGCAAGAAAATAACACAACTTTTAATTTACCAATGATCAAAATGAGATGACTTTTAAATTAAACTTTTAATTTACCAATGATCAAAATGAGATGACTTTTAAATTATTGCTTCTTACAAATAGTAATTTTTTTTTTAATTCAACTATTATGGAAAAGCGACGACATCATTCTTAAGTACAGAATATACCCTTTTCTGACACAGAATGTACTTAAATATTTTCAACAGACCCAAAAAAATAGTTCCACCGGAAAACCAAACGTACTGTACATATAACGAGACACTGAGGCCATAAGAAAACTTTTTAAAGTTGCTTTTGTAAGCACTTTTTTAATATTCAAGTACATATTTTGTTCTATTTTGTACATCAAGTGCTTCTAATGTCAAAAGTTAAAATTGTTAATTTTTTGTTAAAAAATCTATAACTATACAAGAATAAATCAAAAATTGTATTAAATTCGTAACTTAGGGGTGTTTTTTTTTCAATAAACTGACATAAAATGACAAAATTTACAAATATTACAAAACTATAGCAATTTTTACTGTTTCTTTTCTATACGAATTACATAAAACAGGAAGTACATAAAAAACATTGTTACCTTGTCGATGTCTCGTCGTTTTTATTACAACTTCAGGACTCTATGTATTTGTTTTTTATATCAAAAAATTGTAATTGTTAATAATATTTTGATATAAAATTGGGATTCACATTTTTACTTTTAAAAACAAAGTTAAAATTAAAAAATTAATATTTCAATGTCTTTATACACAATTACAATTTTTTACCTAAAAAATCAACACATAGAGTTCTGAAGATGTAATAAAACCGACGAAACATCGAAAGAAATGAACAATTAGAGGTCACCAAGTAAATATTAAAAAAACTATGTTATTATTCTCGCCTTACCTGTGTCTTAAGAGGAATAGGACTCTCCTCCTTGTAGTTCCATTCTTCGCCGCTACGGTAGAGCCAGAGGCCGAGAAGCGGTTTTCCGGAGCCGCTCATGACTTCTTGTAGCCGCCACCAGCAACAGGGTGAAGTTCTTGGGGGCGTCCGGATTTATAACATCGGGAGGGTGACACACAGTGCGCAGCCCCCCTTGATTGGCAGAATCAGCGTTTGTAGCGATTCTTTGATTCGTTATCGAAGCATCTTGCGTCTAATGGATGTGCTTAGAGGAGACGGGAGGGCGAAAAATTCTTATTTTTACACGTTTTGAGAAGTCGTCAATGAAACTTGCCACCGAGTTGTGGGATTTGGTTTTAGGATTAATTTTTAGAGGCCTTGTTTGAACAACTGAAATGTTTTGAAAGTGCTTTAATTTTTTTGATTAAAATTGATCCCGAGGGTTTTGGAAAAAGCCCAAGCAGTTCTTTGTTACTCGGCCACTTATTTATTGTCAATAATCATTTTAAAAATTACTAAATTTCCAAAAGCTGGCTCATAAATTAGAAATAGTTCTATTTTCATAGAAAAATATTGCTGTCACAAATTGACCCCATTGCAAAAGTTTAAATTGTGTCTATTTTCTTGATAACTGTTTTGTGTGAAAAACATATTAAAATGCAATAAAAACAAAAAAAAATATATGACTCAAGCTCTGTTTAATAGTTCTGGAAATATATGAAATACACAGAGAAAACTGCTATTGTGTTTCTAATGAAATGAAGTCGAAGGCCTTCCTGGTCTACGATCATCTTCAACTAACTGACCATCACTTTTAAATTGTGAAAATCATTCAGAACATTGCATACGACCCAGAGCATCAATTCCGTAAGCTTGTTTCAAAAGTTGAACGTTTCCGTTTTCCTAAGTTTCAAGCCAAATTTTACGTTGCTCCAGAAGGTACATAGTTGTCCTAGACGGCATTCTTAAAATAAATCAGACATTCTGACGACTGATATAGACTATTAAACTCAGCAATATTAATAAATGTGTCCCATTGCCACTTAATTTTATGTCAGCGGTATTGTCAAATGGCTTAATGTGAGTAATAATTTGTGGAGAAAGAATAAAACCTTATTGAATGTTACAGTATTTGTATTTTTGATTGAGGTCTTCTTCATATGAATCTTTAGGAACAAAGAAATACTTATATTAGTAAAAAACACACTTACTAATTATTATAACAAATTTTTGTAACNTTAAATTGTGTCTATTTTCTTGATAACTGTTTTGTGTGAAAAACATAAAATTGCAATAAAAACAAAAAAAATATATGACTCAAGCTCTGTTTAATAGTTCTGGAAATATATGAAATACACAGAGAAAACTGCTATTATGTTTCTAATGAAAGCTCTGTACTTGATAGCTATTTCTTCTCATTAAATAATAATTTTTTTTATTTGTCTTATAATAAAAATGAAAATGGTCCACACGATTTTCTTTTTGTTGTTCGATCATCAAATCAAACAGGGAACAAATTTTGCTGCAATGTTCCAATTGACATGTTAATCTATTCTGCAATTTCTCCAACAGATCTTTGACTTTCTGAACGTAGGAGCCATCAATTGAAGTCGAAGGCCTTCCTGGTCTAGGATAATCTTCAACTGACTGACCATCACTTTTAAATTGTGAGAACCATTCAGAACATTGCGTACGACCCAGAGCATCATTTCCGTAAGCTTGTTTCAAAAGTTGAAACGTTTCCGTTTTTCTAAGTTTCAAGCCAAATTTTTCGTTGCTCCAGAAGGTACATAGTTGTCCTAGACGGCATTCTTAAAATAAATCAGACATTCTGACGACTGATATAGACTATTAAACTCAGCAATATTAATAAATGTGTCCCATTGCCACTTAATTTTATGTCAGCGGTATTGTCAAATGGCTTAATGTGAGTAATAATTTGTGGAGAAAGAATAAAACCTTATTGAATGTTACAGTATTTGTATTTTTGATTGAGGTCTTCTTCATATGAATCTTTAGGAACAAAGAAATACTTATATTAGTAAAAAACACACTTACTAATTATTATAACAAATTTTTGTAACTTGCTTTGTAGTCTTCAGTATTTGCTAAAAGATTAATAAAAATTCGGATATTTGTAAATATTTCAAATTTTGGCTTAAACCCATTTGTTTTGGCTATTAAGATTAAAATAACACCTATATATGTTTTTTACGTGATTGGCTTTTGTGAAGAGTGAAATCAGGGTTGCCAGATTTTCTTTTAAGCTAGTAGCCAAACCAAAATTGAAAGTAGCCCAAAATAGCCTGACATCTAGTAACAAAAACCGTTATTTATAATTTTTATACATTTGAAGTTTAAAACCATTCGGGTTTGAGTTTGTTCTGTGAGTCTGGGGACAACCCTTTTCTAGTCGTATGTGGACAACCCTGAGAAATAGAGTAACTGCTTGTTGTTCTCAAGTAAGGATAAGAATACAACCACAGAACATATAATACATACAAGTACAACTACGGTCGTAACAATCTAGTAGCTGCAACATGGGAAAAATTTGAGCTCACTTTGAACTTGATACATGTAATTTAGCTACTACTCAACAGATAGCAGCAATAAGCTAAAGGCTAAAGTCTCTAGAGTCTAGGCATTTTTCTAAAGGCTTCCAAATCCAAACAGTTTACAGAATTCACACCTTAAATATACGGTTCACAGTTCGCAGTAAAATCTAGAAACCGGTCGAACTAGATTTAAATTAAAAAATAATTCTCTGACAATAAATAAATACTTCATCTCTGGAATAATTAGTTAACTAAGGCAAATATATATGATTATAAAACTAGATTATTTTGCCTATGGTACAACTGACAACAAACAACAACTTTTACTATTAGCACAGATGACTCTACTATCTATACTACTTATTTATTTATTTAAAAAGAAAAAAAATAAACTTAAGTCTTGAGTAAAAAAAGAATTTATATAAATATACTATTCTAACATTCGATTTGTACAGATTGCCGACACTGGTAAAAACTCGAAATAGCCCAAATTGGCGACTGGCTATTTTTGCTTTTTTTCAAGTAGCCGAAAGTCATCTGAGATAGCCCAATTGGCGATAAGTAGCCCAATCTGGCAACCCTGAGTGAAATTAGCACAACAAGAATACAGTATATTTCTTCGAATAATTGCCGTTGTTATTCAAGAAATTCCAATAAATTAACTATGTATATGTTTTTGTATTAATTTATTAATTGTTCATCACTAGGTATTTATTGTCGTGGAATAATTCAGTGCTAGTTAGGGCCCATAGAATAGTTGTTTCCAGCAATATTAGCAGTTAGGAGTCTTTCAGATATCTTTTGCATACCTGGATTGCTCATTTTTTTATATAATAGCGTAGAATTATGAAGGCGTCGTAATAAAAACGTCGACAAATAATAATACTGTTGTTTCTTATACTCCCTGTCCTATACCAGATCAATAAATAAGAAGAAACAACCGAAGGTCATCATCTAAATATTTAAATGATTTAATTGTTTCTATATCCCCTCTCATGGTTTATAAGACGCCGTTAATGGGAAAAGACAAACGATTCACCCTATACAACTGCTTTAATGTTGTTTTAAGTTTTGAGAATGATACTGCGTTGGAAATGTCTTTATTTTTTATTCGGTCATTTCATAATACATCTTTTGACATTTGCAACTTTCTTCAAAACTAACTTCTCGAAAAAATTATTAAAAACAGTTTGTCTTCATTAAAAACTTGAATACTTATTATTATTATCATTTTTATTATGAATCATATGAGGTAATATAATGCATAGGTACGTGTATTTATTTTCCAGGGAAATTATATTCCTTTTTTTTTATAGACACCTTTTTTTATCTACGACACTGATTCGAAGACTTCACAGAACTGTATCGCCTTCTCTCCTAGGCAATCAAGAGATGTGGTGTTTAACTAAGTCCCAATCATTCCTAATGACGATTAAGGAATTCAACAGGTTCTAAAATTGAAAAATCGACATGAAATAGTAATACCTAGCACTGAATTATTCCACGACAATAAATGCCTAGTGATGAACAATTAATAAATTAATACAAAAACATATACATAGTTAATTTATTGGAATTTCTTGAATAACAACGGCAATTATTCGAAGAAATATCCTGTATTCTTGTTGTGCTAATTTCACTCTTCACAAAAACCAATCACGTAAAAAACAGCTATTACAAAGAGATCTGTTTCCATATTTTAGTTGGGATAGTTTCAAACAAAAAAAATATATACAGGGTGTCCCAAAATAAATGTACAACGGAAGACCACAGATTCGTAGAATCAAATAGGCAGATTGAGCGGTTTTGGTACAAAAAATATTTTTTAAATGTCTACAGTACCTTAGCGGACAAACGAAACGATTTTGAATATAGGTGAATTAGCCTAAATCTGTATATTTTGAGTCCACGAATCTGTGGTCTTCCGTTGTATCTGGGACACCCTGTATAAACATCAAACTAAAAAAAACGACACTTTGAAATAACAGTGTCAGAAGCTTTGGTCATAACTAGATTCATTATAATTATTTTTCTATCTAAAAAGATATTGGTACGTTTTTAGACATAACAATTTTTTATGAATTATAGAAATAAAATACATAGTTGATATCTTGTACCCGAAAAGGTACATACATACTGAAAAAAAACTCGACGCCTCTGCTCTCGATAAACGAGAGAAAGGTGTTTTCTCTGTTCTCCAATTCAGAGCCAGCACAATCTGACGTAAAGTAATTGAAATCTATATTAATTCCCGCTGAATAAAGCATCGACTTGTTCCGCTATCCGTGGCCTTTCTGTAGATGCACGTTTCATTCTCAACAATCCTCCGTCTGCCCACTGTGGATCCTCTCTTTGTTCTTCTGCAAACACAATCCGTCTTCCTTAATAGGGCTTATGGTGTATATTTTATCTGTTCCCAGCCTCTTGCAAATCTGGGTTATCAGCGTTTCGAATAAACTTTTTTCTAACATCTATAGGCTTGTAAGATTAATAAACTAATCTATGTACCTACTTACAATATTAAGAAACAATACAGAGAAGCTGAAAACAACATGACAGTGTGTTCTATTCTGTTATGGAAATTTGAATTTATGAGCTGGTTTTGTTCCAGTTCAGTTTTTTTATATCTTGGATTCACTTACTACCAAGTTTTGTTTTACTAAAACAAGGGGACAAACTCAGTTAGCGACTATAAAACCATCTAAGATTAGACTTAGAAAATCGAACTGGGTCAAACGTTAAGCTCTAGATCTGATGAAAGGAGCCCAGTTCTCTAAACAATAGACCAAATTATAATACACCCGAAGTGCTGCCTAATCTAATATAACATCTTGTATATCATGTTCAATGAATGCTTTTAGATTTGTCCGCCTTAAATGAATTAAGCCAGTCTAAGGACGGGATGGGGGCCTGTTGCTGACATTAAAGGGATCCAAGGGAAGACGAGGATAAGGGCTAGTGGCTAAGAGATATGACAAATTGGTCTTCATACGCGACATTTGACAAAAAGTGAGGAGATACCGTAAATATTCTTTTTCGTTTTATGTTTGAGAATTTATGGATGCATCTCAATTTTTTGAGCGAAATTTTTTGTTGCATTTTTTTCATTCTTGTCAAAGCGGCCCCAAACATTTGACCATCCACCCACGACCCGGTGTACCATAGGTAACCAATGAAGACGTCTCCATTGTAACATACCGCTGAATAGATCCCGGCCCGATTTATTGACATCTTGATTAACACTCTTTTCAAGTGGCAGACATCTACATGTGTGCCCGCGGAAAACCAGGGAAAGCGCCGCGCCGAATCGACGTCGCCGGCCTCCCCAATCAATAACCAAGGGGTGAAAACAAACATGGCCGACTCGGAGTTCGAGGAATTTAGACAGAGCTTTGAAAAACTACCATCGCACAGTAAAACATCTACACCCTTTTACTCGTAAGTACACCCTCAAGCACCTTGAAATTCTATACAGTAAATCGCGCGTCTTTGGGCGAAAATCCTGACGGTCCCCGAATTTTCCAGTTTAGTTCACGATGTCCTCGTTGACGAAGACTCGCCGACGTCTTCCAAGAGTGACCTAGAAAACGACTGTGATAACAACGCGGATGGACTTTCCTCGATGGGCGGTAAGAAGTCGGAGTCGTCGTCCCTAGGTGCCCCGACACCTCCATGGACGGGCGAACGGAGGAGGCGGAAACTCCCGGAAATACCCAAGAATAAAAAATGTATGTACACCTGGAATATATCGACTCAAGACGTGTAGGTCATGCATGTTTGGAGTGCGATTGATTTTTTATTAGCGTTCCTAAGGCAATTTAACGTTCGTACCGGTTTGTAATCAAGTTTTTAATTAAAATTTAACGTCGTTATCATATCTGTAGGCCAAATATAGTGTCGGTGGGGTAAATTCGTGGGGAAACCTTCTCGGGATTTGGATCTTGTAATATGTTTGTGATTCGGAAAGGTAAGAAATCGAATCCCGTTGAAATTTGGTCTTTTAACGATTTACTTTTATTGTTTACATTAGAGCTGACAGATTTTATTTTTAGACATCCGGCATTTCTTATAAGAATGCTTTATAAGGTTTAAAGGTTTAATATTTCTAGATTTAGCAAGAAATTTATACAAAATTTACAAATAAACATTCAATACCCCTGGAACTTTGTTAAAAGAGTTTTTTAGAATATTGAAAGTTATAAAAATTCCAGGTCTTATATTATGGAAAAAATTAACGAGAATAAGTATTATATTTAAGATTAGAATAGTTTTTCAGACAACTAATACCTTAGCATAGCGCCAAAATGATTTTCAAAAATAAAAAATTGCATTTATAGAATACTTTGTGAATGTAATAAACATTATGTTAAAGAAACCTCTCGAGCTGTCGAATAGACTAAGGTTACATTAAAGAAAATTTGAGAAATAAAAAAATTGCGATCACGCTTGAGAAAACGATAATAAAATTCAATGGGGTTCGGCCAAATTTTTGGAGAAGGAAAACAACACGATTCAGAGTCAGTGTTAAAAATCGTTAAAAGTCACTAGAACAGAATGATTTTCGAAAAGTCAACAACTTTTTAAAGGAAATGATGAATTTTTTTATTTGTGAGCTTTTTTCAGTGTGAAATTTTTGGTTAGGCAATTTTCATAAAAACAACCCTTGACTTTTGGTGCAAAGGTTTACTAAATCAATTTTAAAAAATATTTTTTTTACATAACAAATAAATAAAAAAACGAAAATTATAACATAAATAAGTAACTTCAAACAATATATGTATTTTCAATTACCTATCATCCACTTTATTTATTTGTCTATTTTTTTATGTCCTAAAATTTATTATTGCCTTAGTCTATAAGTTGAATTTTGATTAATTTTATAGCAAAATTCATGACCAAAAACTTAACCAAATAACACACTGAAGTGAATAAAACATTTAATTTTTGTCCTCTCGACATAAACATGTCCGCTAGAAAACAATGCTTTGTACTGGGTGTTTTTTCACAATAAATGGTGTAAATTATGTAGGTATTTATATATTTCAAAAATAACACTGCTTTTATACTAATCTTGTATTGGGTGTATATTTTATGTAGATGAGAGAGCAGTAAAAGATTATATTGATTTGATAGTAAATAATTTTTATTGAATTTTTGTAAACATGTCCAATTATGTCAAATTTTAATCTATAATAGATTGGTTTAAACCAATATTCAATGTATCTTTAAATGTATTGTTGTCTAAAAATAAACACCATTTATTTCATACAATTTTACATATCTAATAAACGTGATTTAGTTTAATGTGTATTCTTGGGTAGTTGTATCATTACAAAATACATTATATTTACTTATTATTAACGATATATCTACGAGTTTTGTGCATATACTTCATTAATCATATATTGTATTTCAATTAGTCCATTTTATTTCAGAAAACGCAATTTGAATTTCAGATTAATCTCTTGTATTTCAGAAAACAACTTTACAACAACTTTATTTCAACAAATTCTTCAACAAATAATTTGAAAACTATAATGTGAGTAGGTACGCTGAAAATTAGTAAGGAATATAAAGGACAGTGCAAATACAATCACAATACGAGTATTAAAAATATTTTTGAGAAAAAAACTAAATTGCAAATTAATAAATGTAATCTAATTGTTTAAAAATAAAAAAAGAGTGTTAACTTTAAAAATTTACTTTGGCCATCCTAATCAATCGATTTCAATTTCAATTTTTCAAAAACTATTTAAAAAGTTGAACGGTCTTTTCTATGTGAAAAAATTTTCAAGTATCTAGATGCTTTATTTGAGGCTGTGCAACATTTTGAAAATTCGAACATTTTCTTTCAACATTTTTTAATGAATTTTGAATTTGACGATTTTAATGAAATTTGGTGTGTTGTTTTATTATACTCTAAAGTTTTTTTACCAAAATTAGAATACCCTCAGAACAATTAAAACATTTATCAAAAAAACTTCTATTGCCTTTTTTTCTTCAATTACTGCTATATTGCAACATTTAAATTTAAATTTTTAACTTACAGTAGGTATATTGTGCAAAATTCAATTCTAAAACTTTTTCCTCTTCAATATTCTTCCAAAATGCATAGGTTCCAAGATATAAGTAAAAAAAACTCACATAACATAGGTGTTTTTTAAAATTTTTTAAACAGTTTTGCAATTTTGAAAATTTTGAGAACTTCGCCCAGATCTAGGGATCTACACTTTTATTACGTGAGTTGTACTGAAGGTATTCCAGCTAAAATTAGCTTGCCCTTCTTACATCTATCCAAGAAGTGGGATTTTTCGACAGATTCGCCCTGGTCTATTTCCACCACTTGAGCTTGTTCTATCAATCCTGAGAACATCGTCACTTTGACAATACGTGTTTTTTTTTCGTTATCCCTTGGAATATGTCATCAAGAGCTTGACGTTTCGTTTATGTGAAGCGTCATCTCATTCGAGAGGCGTGTTTCCCTCGAACCAATTTATACATTCCTCTTTATTTGCTGTATATACTACACTGTACATTGTTGTAGCCGCTGTGGTAACAATGTACAATGCACAACATCAGTTCTCTAGAGAAATATCACTGGCCGACGAACTAGGCAGCACCAGCAGCGGACCAAGCTCAATCTTAGTATTAAAATGTGGATATCTCTGGGACGATTCTCCTGAATCAGACAGGTAATAATTTATAATTCAATAATATCTCTATTTCGAAGGAGCCATTAATAAAAACATTTTTTTTAATTGTAAGTTTGTAAAAACAATAAAAGATGCCATTATTTTCACCCAAAGAACTAACACGGCTCGTCCCACTTCTCTGTAACACCCTGTGTATTTTTACAGCAACAAACAATTTTTTCAGGCTGCTAACCGACGCGGACAGCGGTCACAGCACGGCCCATTCGCCCACAGGAACGGATGGGGCCAAGTCGATGTCTCCTGTGATGGGCATGTCCCCTTCCGTGGTCGGGGGGTTGGTCTACAACGACGTGGACATGTTGGAGGCGACACACCGGGGTCTCCACAAGTTCGTACCCAGGCACGAGGACGAGATAGAGGTGGAGATCGGCGACCCCATCTACGTACAAAAGGAGGCGGATGATCTCTGGTGTGAAGGTAAATCAAGTTGTGATATGAGTCGAAGGGGTGAGTGGTTGTATTAGTCACGCGTTAGTCATACTTTCTGCGGAAATACATTGTGGTTGTCCTTGACTTTCCGTGGAAATTATGACCAATCGCGTTGAAGCAAATGGTACAAGGTGATTGGTTGTCTGGAGTATATAACGTTAAAACGACGTTTTATGTTTACATGATTTACATGAATAGATGAAATTAATTCGTAAAAAGTTGAATCTGTAAAACATGTAATGACCAAATTTAATTTGCACTTATATTGCAGGAGTAAATTTAAGGACAGGGCGAATGGGAATATTTCCATCTGCTTACGCTGTTGATTGTGATTACACGGATTGGGATACGTCTTGCGAACATGGACGTCGCGAAAGATATCTTTTAGGTACATACACCAGTTATTTAAGTAAAAAGTATACGTATTTTTAATATTTTGCAGGTTATATAGGTTCTGTAGAGACTTTAGCACATAAAGGTACATCAGTCGTTTGTCAGGCTGTAAGAAGGGTCATTGGGAGTTCCGGAGGTGATCCCGATCTACAGCCGTGCACTTTAGAAGTTTCCGATCAAGGCCTGAGAATGGTAGACAGACGAAAACGAAACGTAAGTCTGCTTAACCCATGCGTTGTTCCTTGTTTGTTGTAAATAGTTGTTCCAGAAAATTAAAACTTGTACCTATTTTCAGCAAAACGAGCCCTGCATAGACTACTTCTACTCGCTGAAGAATGTTTCATTTTGTGCTTTTCATCCACGAGATCATCGCTATTTAGGATTCATCACCAAACATCCCACATTGCAGAGGTTTGCTTGTCACGTGTTTCGAGGACAGGACTCTACCAGACCCGTCGCCGAAGCAGTAGGGTAAGGTTTTTTTATTTCCATTTATTTTCATTAGACACTGGTAATGTTATCTTTAAAATTAATTTATTTATTAACCATCTGTTTTCCAGTCGTGCCTTCCAAAGGTTCTACCAAAAGTTTATTGAGACTGCTTACCCCGTTGAAGATATTTACATTGAATAAACATTTAGTGCAATAAATATATTAATTACATAACAATAATGTAAATACCAACATTATAATGCTGTGTCATCAATAAACAGAACAACTTTTATTTGTAACGTATGTGTATTAAACTTTTGAGTTGGGATAGAAAATCTTTTTCCTAACACTTGACAAACGGTAATTTTCTCATGAATAGTGATATATTTTCAAAAAACAATCATGATATTTCAAAGCATTTAATGCATCACAAGTACATACAATGCATGCATATGTTAAGGTGGGTAAGTATTCGAGTATTAGTTTTACAAATGTAGATCCACAAATACTTACTACATGAAGTAATGTTTAGTGTTGTATATTTTTATAAAGTTCATTATTACCTTACTATTCTTCAATAGTAGATACTGTTTGTTATATATTTTTTTATCCGGAAAAAGGTTTGAGTAAAGAAAGTGATAAGTAGCAATTATAAATTAAAACATATCTATAATTTTGTTGTTGTTTATGTTCACTTTAAATGTTCTGTAACGTCTATAAATAAACTTTATGAAATATAGTATTATATTATTTATAACACCTTGTATTTACTAGAAATATGCTTAAAAATGTTATGGAAAATTTATACTAACGTCTATCTATCTATTATAAATTATAAATATGTATGTACTTGGTTATAAATTATAAATCTTTGTTTTCTCTTTTATCACACGTTTTATTTTATTTAATCCAATAGAATTTTTTGCCGACTTATTGATTAAATTTAAAGGAAAACTGTACCCAAACTATGAAGTTGTTAGGAATGTGGGAATAACATGAACCCAAGCGGCAAAATAACGAACTAAATCTGCCTATATTCATGGAGTTGCAGGAATGCACCCTCTACATTCAATATAGCCTATGCGATCTGTCTATCTGTCATGTATAACCTAACCTAGATCAGTGTTACCAGATCTCCTGTTTTAACAGGAGATCTCCTGTTTTCACTCTCACTCTCCTGTTCTACTGTTTTCACTATGAGATCTCCTGTTTTTAGTTTCAATGTCTATTCTTCTGGGTTCTCTATGAAATCTTCTGTTGATTATACTAATTTTCCCCAGAATAAGAATATTTTAGTACGACACTGTCCTCTAACGGCACTGTGTTCGTCACTTGTCAATATTTTCAGTCCTGTTATATTTTCTATAGCCCAGTTCATGTACATATTTAAATTTTAAATCCACAATTCGCGTTTATATGAACTGGGCCTAACATAATAGAAGGCGAGTTCGTTTACTTCAGCGGGATTACGGGATTTATCATTTTGACAACTGACAGTTGTCAAATCACGTGGCGTACCGATTAGGGATGTGCGATACTGCAGAAAATATCGATACTTTATATTGATACGGATCGAAAAAATAGTATCGATACAGTAAAATATAATGTTGAAAAACATCGATACTCAAAATATCGGTACATTTTCGATACAGAGTATTGTGACAAAACAAATATGTTTGTAAGTATGCGAACATTTTATAACATCATAATACAAACATATATAACAGCAATAAAAAATTGGGGGCTTTCGTTTTGGCAAAAATAGTACTTATTAGCAACTAATATCAATCAGTTCAGAGTAACTCTAAGTTGCTATTAGCTACTAATAGCTATTATTTTTGCCAAATCGAAAGGCCCTATTATCTGTAACCAGTAAACAGACTGCAACATTACTGGATGCACACGAAAGGAATATTATTTCTACTATTATATTATGCTGCTGAACAATAGGTGACGCTCGGATCGTACGGTTCCGATATACAGGCAAGAGTATCGATACTCGTAATGTATTGTATAGAAAATATCGATACAAAATATCGGGTATCGGAGACAAAAGTATCGATACTCTGAATTATCGTATCGTATCGCACATCCCTAGTACCGATGTAATTGAAAACTATTAAACGAACTCCTACATTTATATATTTTGCTATATTTTGTGCATGTAGGTACTTGTGATCCTCTATTAAAAAATATATTTATTAAAATCTGTTGAAAAAAGAAATCTCCTGTTTTTTTGGCTACATTCCTACTGTTGACAGAAATTTCCATCTGGCAACACTGACTAGATGTAAAACATAACCTCGATTTCAAAAATCGATCAAATTTTGACAAACATTTTTATATGATTGTGTAAAGAAAAAATATAATGGATAGACCACGCCCATGTGGTTGTAAAGGATGCCGTACTTGCTTAATATGTGAAGCTGAGTACAAAATTGATATAAAATCGCCATTATATAATAAACAAAGTAACTCGTACGTTTACTGCCCCTTCTGCAACAAAGCCTGGCCTGGGTGGGATGTCGATGAATTCAAAACACACCCAAACCATAAAGGAGAAGCAATAAAGTTCCCTGGTATTTATATCGATTTGAATTTTTTGTCAGATACTGAAGAAAAGCTTTTAATAAACGATCTGGATGAAATTCCTTGGGATTTATCGCAAAGTGGAAGACGTAAACAAAATTTCGGACCCAAATGTAATTTTAAAAAAAGGAAACTAAGATTAGGTAATTTCATAGGATTTCCCTCGTCTACTAAATTTGTGCAAGACAAGTTTAACAGTGTACCTATATTGAAAGGATTTAAAACAATAGAGCAGTGTTCCCTTGAATACAATCCTGAAAGGGGAGCATCAATCGATCCACACGTGGACGACTGTTGGGTATGGGGTGAGAGAATAATTACCGTTAATTTACTAGCAGATTCCGTATTGACTATGACTTATAACTCTAAACCAAGAAAGTATAACTTGGACTGTGTTAAAACTTACCCGTCTGTATTAACGGATGATGGAGAATTGAATACTGTGAGCCACAGCTACACTGTTACGCCAAAATATCAAGAAGATAAGGGTCCCATAGTAAGGATACCTATGCCTAGAAAATCTTTATTAGTTATGTATGGTGCCGCAAGGTACGATTGGGAACATCAAGTTTTACGAGAGGATATTTTACAGCGTAGAGTGTGCCTGGCATATAGAGAATTTACCCCTCCTTATTTAGAACGTGGTGATAAGTATGAAGAAGGAAGAGACATTCTTTTGCAAGCACAAAACTTCTTTTAGTTTGTTTCAAATAAATTGTAAATAATTATAATACAACTTGCAGTTTTTTAAATATATTTTAGTTCTGTCTCCACAAAAAAAAGTTAATTTATAATTATGTAGTCATGATTAAAAGTTCAATAAAAAAATTGAAGAAATGTATATTTTTCATACATATGCATATCTGGTTGCATTATTTTACTATTATAATAAATCTATTTATAGGATAGCACAAGCTTGACCATATTGATCTTTTATGTAATGTTCTTAATCAATTTATTTTATAATTAAAATACTAGTATGGAGGAAATTTTGTTTTATTCGTGTATAAATACTCGGCTTAAAATTACGAAACAATGGAAAAACGTACAATTAGATACAATTCGTTTAAATCGTGCTAAAAATTATTCATAGACCCAATCGAAAGTTGCTGGCTTCCAATCCACCAGTTCCTTTTCAGTAAACCACAGGCTTATTTCCTTTTTAGCAGACTCCACACCGTCTGACCCATGACAGATGTTGCGACCAACTTCTACACAAAGATCGCCTCTGATCGTTCCAGGAGCACTATCAGCTGGATTTGTAGCACCAAGAAGTACACGACCAGTCTTTACGACATCCAAACCTTCCCAAACCATGGGCACAACAGGGCCGGAAGACATGTACTTTATAAGTTTTGGGAAAAAGGCTTTAGTAGATAAATCAGCATAATGCTGTTTCAGAAGCTCGTCAGAAGGCTGCAAAAAAATTGTATGCTATTAGTATACACCAGGCGAACTTATTTTTAAAAATTTTAAAATCTAGTTTCCATAAACGGAAAAAATGAAAAACGTGAACTTAAAACTAGGTTATAAAAAAAATGTCTGCCACGCCGGCATTTTACTTCATGCCGGCCATTTTACTGCAAGTTACAATAATTATTAAAAATATACTGACCCACACGAATTTAAGAGCGACTAGTTTGAATCCTTTTTGTTCGAATTTTTTGATAATTTTTCCTACAAGTCCTCTCTGGACGCCATCAGGCTTAATCATAATAAAAGACCTTTCGTTTCTGCTCATTATTCTACAGATATAGGCAAATATGGACAGCACAGTACAGATCATGCAAGCTCTGGCAACGGAATGAAAGTTTAAGATGCTAAATTTATTTAATTGGAAGGGTAGTAGCCTCTTGCCTGCCTGCTGTCTGACGTGGAAAGAATTTTATTGGTCCTTGACTCACTGACGCAAAGAATCCTCTGTCAATAATCTCTAAAACTTTTAGTCACACATTTTCCATCTTGCTCCATCCTATACGTCCTACATATATTGAATATTACAATCTATGGCAACATTGGCAACGCTTTTCCAACTTTCGGACTCGAACATGAAACAGGCCCTACGAATGCGTCTCAACGTCATCACAATAGAGGGAGTGGGGATAAGTTCTCAAAGCTGGTAAGCTCCATAATGTTTTATAATGTTTTTTTACCAGCTGTACATTGGCATGTTTGATTATATTTAATTTTACTGGTACGTTTTAGTTTGTATAATTAATTTTGTTAATATTCAAGCACGCACTAATTAAATTATTCATGAAGAAATGTTTGGAAAATTCCACGTAGCTGACCAATGAAATGTCACCAAGCAGTGTTGCCAGACCTAACTTAATTTTGTACTAATACAACTTTCAAGAACTAGAATCAATTTTAAGTGTGCAGTTAGACGTATGACTGTAATACAGTTTCACACGAAATATGTTTTATTATTTATTTGATATTGTGATATTGTGGCATAGTAGCAGGAAATGAGGCAGTAAGAGAAATGTGTTTTATATGTAATTGGCATTATATTATTTAAAATATGATCTTATGTTTTATGCTTTCAGTATTTACTGTTCGAATACAGACAATTTTAACCGTAAATAATTTTAGTAGTTTATTAAATAGTGAATGTTTTATCAGTTGTTATAGAGCCCTGGTTGATATTATTTTCGTTACTGAAATTTTTATTCCAGAATTAATTTTTCTATCTTTGTTTGTCTGGTACACAAGTATATGATCAACGAAGTGATATACAGTAGTTTTTGTATATAATGGCATACTTTGAAAGTTCCAAGTATTTTTATATTACTTTATTCTGTGTAGCACTTTAAATAAAGTAAATGCAAAGCATAAAATCAGATGTTATTGTTGAAAATTACTTGGGAATTATTGAATAGTCTCTAAAATTAGTGCGCGCCATCTATTTATCTTCATTCACCTCTTACATGTTTATATTTTAAAATCATACATAACTATTTTTATCACATCAATGGTAATTTTAATACCTGGCAACACTGTCACAAAGTGTTGATGCTGTTTCCGTATCCAGACATCAGACATCTCCTTCTAACGTGACTACTTTTTGTTGCACGGTTAGTAAGTAATCAAGTAATCGATTGTGGTAGTGAAAGACGCTCGAATTAAAAAGCACGTCTTGTATTATCTTTGTTGAGTGAAGTAGATAAGTATTTATTAATTGTGGACTCTTTTTGTGAAATGCAGGGCCAACAGGTCGCTGTTAATGCTCAAAATCAAACAAATACAGCGAACAACAGCGGATTACCTCTCGGCCAGGTTATACTGAAAATGAACGATAGTATTCCAATGTCTTCCGTCGGTAAGTCTGATTGTAAATTGCATAAAACATTTCTATTATTGATAAATTGTTAATTTCTAGGGCTTTTAGAACTTGCCCACCGCGAGTATCAAGCTGGAGATTACGAAAATGCAGAGAGACATTGCATGCAATTATGGAGGCAGGACCAGACAAACACAGGAGTACTTCTGCTTTTGTCCAGCATACATTTTCAATGTCGGCGGTTGGATAAGTCGGCACAATTCAGCACATTAGCAATAAAGCAAAATCCTTTATTAGCTGAGGCATACAGGTACAGACAATATGCATAACTTCAAAGTCACTTAGTTGTTTTTGTTTAGTTTTTGACAATGGATGTTGATTTTAATGAATACCCAATTTATTGTTTCTTCGAAGGACACGATATTCAACAGTGCCTTTATTTCAGTAATCTTGGAAATGTATTCAAGGAAAGGGGCCAGCTTCAAGAGGCTTTGGAAAATTACAGGCATGCGGTCCGGTTGAAACCAGACTTCATCGATGGTTATATTAATTTGGCAGCGGCCCTTGTCGCCGCTGGTGATATGGAGCAGGCGGTACAAGCATATATCACTGCATTGCAGTATAACCCAGTAAGTAGATTTGAATTTTTTTAATCGGATCCATGTTGTAAGGTCGGTCGTTTGATAGTTTCTTAAGGACGAGTTTGTTTCTTGATTTCTTTGTCTACAACCTGTTGCGGAACTTTTGTCGAGTTTGTTTCGTTTGTTCAAGATTTAAATGTGGAAGGCAATAAAGATAGATTTTAAAGAGACTAATGACAGGGTTTCGGTTGTAATCGTTCTAATTAATTTAAAGAATTGAGTCGTTCTATAATGAATTTTAACGGATTCAAAGGATAAATTACTTGCTGTTTTTAATAGTTAAATCGCCCCGATTTAAAATTGTGCTGGCAACTTTTGTATTTTTAATTTTAGATATTTATATAAGTATAAATAGATGCACTTGGTTTAATTATCAGTTTTATAACACATGTATATTTCATGTGAACAGGGAATTAATTTTTGTTTGTATTTATAGAATGACACTACAAATGTACCTATAAATGTCAATTTTTTCAAATATATCACGGGTGAATGTTCTTTCATGATGACAAAAAATATTGTTTGCAAAATGCATGACAAATGGCTGTGAAATCGGGATGTATTGTTTGTAATGATTTGGATATTAGCAATATAATCTGAGATTTTTTTAGTATTAAATTTATCGAGTTGAAAAATAACTTCTTTCATAAAAAGGACCTTCTAAAGATTTCCATTAATTTTCCAGGATTTTCCCAAATACATTAATCATAATTATAAGCTTAAAATATTTAAACTGCCCATAAAAACCTTCATAAATCACTTAAGTAGACAACAGTATTCCCTGGCGTATTCCTAAGAGTATTAGATTATTTTGCTTTATTAAAATTTATGAGGCAATTATGAGAAATGTGTCCAATTTTTCTGTAGAAATGGTTATCTTGCTGCTTCATTCCAAAATTGCCACAGCATTGTGAAACATTATCAAAAGTAGCAATACTTTTGTTGATAAGATGCCGAAAATAGATTTTTTCGCTGTATTGAAAAATGTCTTGGTTTTTATTGAGAAATATCAGACATACTTAAATATATACAAGGTGTCCCATTTTATTGTACCTACCAGACCGCATAATTTTTTTAATTCGATTTATAAAAAAATGTTTCGAACAAAAGTTATCAGGTTTCGAGGGGGTCAAATTATGTCAAGGTCAACCTTGATTTACTAAATGGAAACCCATAGTTTTATTATAGTTTCGTAAATATGTTTTTCCCGCAGAATACGAAACTGTAATAAAAATACGGGTTTCCATTTAGAAAATCAAGGTTGACCTTGATAATTGACCTTAAGGTTAATATTAAGGTCACGGTAATTTGATACCCTCGAAACCTGACAACTTTTGTTGGAAATATTTTTACCATCCTGCTTATTTCTTGAGATATTATTCTGAGAATTAAAATGAAACAGGTAAAGCGCACTCTAGCGAGAGAACGAAGCATTAAAAAAAAATTCCATACAAAGGTTAATTATTTTTTCCCGCAGAATACGAATCTGCAAAAAAATGGGTTTCTATTTAAAAAATCAAGGTTGACCTTTAAGTGACCTTGATAATTGACTTCAAGGTCACTATAATTTGACCCCTCGAAACCTGATAACTTTTTGTTTGAAATATTTTTTTTATAAAAGTTGAATTAAAAAAATTAGGTGGTCTGGCACATTAAAATGGGACAACTTGTATATTTGAAAAGCTAAACAACATTTATTGAAGAAAAGTTTTAAAAATGATTTTTTATTAGCACTTGTAAATTAACCTCGAGTTTATTAATACAGAACAAGATAATTTTCCTAATAAATTCCAGGCGTTTATATTTTCCATAACTTTGACCATTATTTTAACAAAGTTTCCCAACTAGTCTCGAGTTGATTTTTTGATATTTTGTTCATAACATGTTTCTAAACAATATTCCGCAAAAAAACTTCTAATAGTATTTTTTTTCCGAAAAAAGGTCATAATGACTGGCCTATTTTGTTATGCAACTTTAACTATTTAATCAATTTTTAAATTAGTAAATCATCATATTAAATACATTCACAGTGTAGATTGATTTGTACATTTTAATATTTTCAAGATAGCTCGTCAAAACAAAACTTGATATCCAAAGAATTGTCCTATCTGCCAGGAATCTGAAATTAGAACAGCTGACTGGTTGAATTTATAGTGCCATAAATTTTTAAGTCAATCCAAGGAACTGCCCTGATTTGAAATACTGAAAATTTTGTGAATATTTTAATTCAAATTTTTCTTTCAAAAAGCTCTTTGTCGGAACCGGAAATTATTAAATTATAAAATATACGTACATCAAAATATATTAAATGTCCGGTCGCGACCGCTGGGCGCAGGGGTGCTCCGATCGGAGCCATTTTGAAATCATTTCTGTGTTAAGTAGAAGTGATCCGGGCATTCCACGTAATACTCTGTCGATGTTTGAATGCGCTATAAGTGAACTTTGCGTGAAAACTAATTTTTTCGAGGCACACAGAGTGGGGAGTGAATTTATTTTATTTTTTTCAGGATCTCTACTGCGTTCGTAGCGATTTGGGTAATCTCCTAAAAGCGCTAGGTCGTTTAGACGAAGCTAAGGTAAGTCAGATTATCATGACGTTTTTGATCCCATGAGTCCTATCCCAGCATCAGTACGACTGTGAAGTTGTTTTTAAATCATGGTTTTTTTCATTTTAAAGGCAGCTTTTCCCATTCAAATGCAAGGGGTGATATTTTTTAACATTCCAAATTAACAGTTAAACACCTTTTGGCCGATTATTTTCGAAGAGGCGCGTTGCGTAACTTTTTTCACACTGCGTAAGTATAATTGTGACAGATCTCTGAACGTGTGCATTGAGCTTTATGCGTAGCCGTGGTAGATTGGTAGGTTTTTTCCATTCCAGAAGCTATTGGCGTTTCACCATACACTCTTTCACTATTTTTTATTTTGCAGGATGTGTTGGCCGACAATTCATCAATCCCCCACCCGATTCGGTGTGGTATAAAGCGAAACGTCCTTGTTTAGGGTGGCGTTGATGATATTGTTGGCTATTTTTTTTAAATTTCAGGTGCCGCTGGCGTAGTTTGGTATGTAGAGGAATTTCGTTCACTGAAAATATCGGCCAAATGCAAAAATAACTCTTGCATCGAACGTTATTACCAGAGATGAAAGTAAACTATTGTCATACGCCAAAATAATAATAAATACGTGCAAGTGTTAAATTTAAATGACTGGATTAATTAATTTTTTGTCTGGTAATGTTTTGTAAATATAGTCACTTTTTGCTCTGGTAATTTTGCTTTGATAATATTGACGGTGTCAATTTTCATATTTTTTGACTTTTTGAAATTGCAAGCGACGTTTTTTTATGTACTTGCAATTTCAGGCAAAAATTGTATTCATCATCATTCTGTCCTTTCCCTATTCTGTTTTATAAGTATTATGATATCCCAAAAAGGATTTCACCAAGTGGCGATTGGAATCAGTAAAAGTTATAATATATTTTATTATATTGTAACTGTTTCATCTGTTTTGTAAAATTGATTTGGATTTAAGATAGTCAAGACGAAGTTAATCCATTTTTAGCTGATAGAAAATTATTAGAGATATATCCTGCTTCATAGTTTGATCATATTGTTCTCGGTATAGAAATTCAGTTAAAATTTTCCTCTCATTAAAATAAATATCGGTGTTATACATAGAATTGTTTGTTTTTAAGGTGGTTTTATGTCGCACCTGAAATATTTTTAAGATGTAATTTTCCAAGATATTTTTTTTATTGTTTCGCATATGTGCGTTGTATTCCAGTGTTCCCAATTACTAGATTTTTTATTTCTATTGCTTTACTTATTTTTCGTATTTTCATAATTATTGTATTGTAAAGGTGTTAAGGTAATTCAAGCGAATTCATTTTTTTTTCTAAAAAACGTATCAAATGAAATCAAACAATGTACTTCGATACCAAAAATCTAAGTATGCAAATGATTTCTAACCTCAAAGACAAAATTCCTAACTGCTGATATGATTTGAATGAATACAACCCAATCCGGTTGTAATCAAGACTGGAAAACACAAATTTTTACGCCATTTTTATATACGTTGGTTTTTAGTTTTCTTGCACTGCTAAAATGTCAGTCTAAGAGCGCATCCGCATGACGCGAGATATGCCGGGAAAGTATGCCTCATTGTTTATTGGTCGTTACATGCGGATGCGCTGTAACTTTACAACACACAAAATTTTATTTACTATCACCGATTATACGATACTTTCTTATATATTTCATTAGTTGTGAATGGATTAACACATTATGCCACTTTGGTGTTCTGTCGACTGAATAAACGCATTTCACAAAGTAATCTGTGAAGTTTTTGCAAGTGTCTCTGTGTCATTGAATTCCAACCAAGTCTATTATTAAATTATCAAGTATTGTAGGTACTTAATCATCGGTTGCCATTGTGCAGTCCAAGATAATTCCAAGCGTTGGTGACATCTCGTTTTGTGGGCGCCAAAAAAAACTATTTCATATATGTATTGTAAGAAGTAAGAATACTGACTAATGGTATTACTATGTTGCTGTACGATAATACAGGTATGTGGCAGATTTGGTCGATTTTGTCTCAGCCCACCGCAGACAGACTCTGGTAAAAGCATAAACCAATGGCTTAGTGTCAGGTAAAGTACGCAAGCGACACGGATTATGGTGGTCTTTGTTTTTAGGTATCGGAGATTATCGGGGCCTCTCAAAGCGTCAACTGCGCCTATGCGTAGATTCACCTCTACTCCTTATGCGATTTTCCACCCGGTGTACGCGCTCGGCGTAGACTTTCCTTGGCGTTGCGTAAAGGCGATACATACGCGCGGTCTTGAAATCAATGCGCACCTAGTCCGCTCGTTCGGGGGGGCGTTTGGCTGCCCAAGCCGCTTTTCCGTACCCCGAACCGGCGCAGACTGGTTAAAAAAGAAATACCTCCGACGAGTGTACGTATTCTTTGATGTATGCGAAGAATTAAGAGCAGTAAGCGGTTCATTTTGATTGGCCGTTCGTCAGAAGATGTAGCTTGATCACCTTAAACTCTAAAGCATGTCTGGTTCGATTTTGAGAAACGGTTTTATTTTTATTATAATTTTTTACTCCTTTTCTTTTATTGGTTGTTACATATGTAACCGCTGTAAAGTTGTGAAGGGTTGACAGGGTTGTTGATTGACAATAGCGCCATCTATCCAAAAAAAAACACGTAGATATCCACCTGTACATTTTTGTTGACGGCATATTTTATCAAAAAACAATCTTCGGCTTATCGTGATCAGGAATACTTTCAAACGTTGCCAGAAAACCTTTTTTTTATTCGTCATAGGGCGATAGAAGGTTCCCTATACAGATATCGGATTTCAAGTTCCCATTTAAGGATAAAAAATTGCAGGGGTGCTTTTTTGATGTCTTAATTCAGTCCGTTGAAATTTCAAAGGCATTGTGCTCGGCTATGAAAGGGATAATTATTAGGGAAGCCCTGATTTGAAAAGAAGAGAAGAGTGGTCCTCGAGCAACAAATTTTCAGGAATGAAAAGAGGTAACAATGCGCGCCAGGATAATAACTTTGTTTGCTAGTAACGTTTTTCGGGGCATGTAGATGGGAGAATGAATACCTTTGCTAACGGTTTCGTGTATAATAATTGCTAATGTAAAGATTTAACACCTACAAATTAATCTGACAAGATTTTCTTGCGATCTAATGCAATCGTAGAAAATTTAATTCTGAAAACAAGTAATCGACTTCATCGGATTGATCACTGATAAAAATAACAAACAATAGTGACCCCAGAGCTGACCCTTCAGGAACCACTGCCGCAATTTATCAAATTGAAGATCAGAATGTCCTTAAAATCGTACCCTAACATTTCCCGACTCCTGACCATCTTCTGATGAATGGCGATGGCCATAAAACAACATATTTGAGTAACCTCGGGTGGTGTGTATGTTGGGAATGCGTACAAGTCGGAGAGTGTCGCTCCATCGGCCGCTACCACGTGGTGTGCGTAAGCGCTTTTGCGATTACTCAGTACTTGCGAGCTCTTTGCGATTTTGCGAGAGGCCCTGCGGAAGTGGAAGGCGCTAGCGACGAGGCTAGAGTTGAAAAGCACTGCCTAATTCTGACTGTCTCTATAGGCTTGCTACCTAAAGGCCATAGAAACTAGACCTGATTTTGCAGTCGCCTGGAGTAATCTGGGGTGCGTTTTTAACGCGCAAGGGGAGATCTGGCTGGCCATCCACCATTTCGAGAAGGCCGTCGGCCTGGACCCCAACTTCCTCGACGCTTACATCAACCTGGGCAACGTCCTCAAGGAGGCCAGGATCTTCGACAGGTGAGTGATTTTATTATTTTTAGTGATTGCGCGGTGGTTGGATACTGAAATAAATGTGGTTTTCCATTTCTTGAATAATTTATTTCAAACGTTTTTTTTTTTAAATTAGTTCATTTTTCTGAATACTATGAAGATACTCTTTTGTTTTTTGTTCTGACATGTTTACTAGCGCAATTTTTCGTTCTGCATCCAAACAGAAAAGTGTCAAAAGCCATTTTGACCTATTTTTGATGTTATGTCATACCTACAGATATATTCTTTACTCAATATTGTATGCGTTAACTTGAAGTACTTTTCTTCTGTAATTTCCATTTTGGATTGTCTATGTAAGCTTTTTTTCTCCAAGATGTCACTAATTAAAGTTTAGTTGATTTCAATGCTTGGTTAACGTGCTTGATTAACGTGAGTCTCCTCGTATCTCACGATTTGGAGTGTTTGATTAACGTGGGTCTTCTCGCCTTCTCACGATTCAAGTGCTTGATTAACGTGAGCCCTCTCGTATCTCACGATTTGGAGTGTTTGATTAACGTGGGACTTCTCGCCTTCTCACGATTCAAGTGCTTGATTAACGTGAGACCTCTCGTATCTCACGATTTGGAGTGTTTGATTAACGTGGGACTTCTCGCCTTCTCACGATTCAAGTGCTTGATTAACGTGAGACCTCTCGTATCTCACGATTTGGAGTGTTTGATTAACCTGAGTCCCCTCGCCTCTCACAATTCAAGTGTTTGATTAACGCGAGTCCTCTCGTCTCTTACGACTCGAGTGCTTGATTAACGTGAGTCCTCTCGCATCTCACGATTTGGAGTGTTTGATTAACGTGAGTCTATTCGTCTCTCACAATTCAAGTGCCTGACTAACGTGAGTTGGGATTTTCGAGCTTGGAATAAATGCAACAATTAGGAAATATTGTATGTATCTTAGCTGTTAAGTGAAAGTAACTGGTTAAATACTGGATCATCTAAATTTGAAATGGTGGATATCTTGAAGGTTGTATCAAAACAAATCAAAAATGGAGACGTAAGATGTACTTTAAGTAACAGTGTTGAGTTGGAAAAATATCTGTAGGTGTGACATAACCTCAAAATCATGTCAAAATGCCGACGCCATGGTGCACTTTTATTCCAGATTCGGAATCCAGGCGCAAGTTGCGTGAGAAAACATTTCCCGGATTCAAAATACGAGTGGTATTGTTCTGTGTAATTAATATTCCAGAAATTATTTATTTATAAAACAAATTGTAACTTGTCGATACCAAGACATGTCGGTGCCTGTCACAAACTGCAATCATGTGCCGTTTTAACATTCTTTTAGGACAGAAATCTATTTTTAATCGGAGATTATTTGTACGTCCCCATTGTGTCTTTCTAGGACCATCAATTAGGTATTTCCCATTCTTCATATCGGAGCGAGGAATTTATTCCTCTTATTTTTATCCCCTATAAATTCCCGTCACCTTAGGAAATCCCGTTCCGTCTGGAATGGCATAAATGTATTTTTCTAAATTTAGCCGGTCCAAAAAAGCGCGATTTATGTGGCAGGGCATTTCGGTATCTAGAAGCTTGTTGTAAATCAGCGGAACGTATTATTTAGGCGCCGCTCCGCCCCAATTTAAAGCACCTCGTTCTGAGCGATATGTAGAATATAAGAATTGATTTTTTTCTATGCTCTCGTGTGTTCCATTTTTTATACTATTTTAAATTGGACACAAACATTTTTATGAAGATGTTTCAAAGTTACTCCTAATTTCTTCGCAAAAAAACTATTAATTGTATATTCTGTACAATAAACTGTGCCTGCGTTTAAAATATACATATGTGTATGTATTTAAGGTTCACCCTGTGTAGATAAAATAATATTTATGGAGTTATCGCCAGCTTCATTGTGTCATAAATGCTACGAACACATTTTCAATTAGACTTATACATTTTCAAAAAAAATAAATTGTTGCTTCACCATAACATAAATGCTTCACCATAACGCGAATGTTGTCTTGCTTCGCCATAAACTGAAACGCTATCCATCAACTCCGAGTTGCTATAGACGTAGGCCATTTTTCGACAGTTGAAAAACTAGTGTAAATACTATCGCAAATACGTTAATACTAAAATCGGATTTCAGTATTCGCAAGCGTCTGCGGCCACGTGGAGAAAGAGCGCATTGCCCAGCCATGTAAGGGTTGTAAATACTACAACTTCAATAAATTTTTTCTCGAAAACTATAAGGAGTTAAAATTTTTTTTTTTACGATATTGACTCCATGTTTCGTGACGCATTTATTTCTAATTTTTTTTAGATGAGTTGTGAATCATCCTGTATTTTTAATCGCAAAATTTATTTCGTGACGATATGTAAAACTTGTAAAAGTTATGTTACATAATAACCAGAAATTTCGTCGCCGTTACGTGTGATCAATAGTTGTGTTCTGCATAATGATCTGTGTTAAAAAAGCGACTTGCGCGTGATTGATCCTCATCTTTTGCATTATTAATATGTTGACATGATATACAATTTATCATCGGTTATTCTCAACGGAGTGGTTCTTAAAAAGTTGGTTTATATCTTGAGATTTTTCCCACAGCAAGTAAATGTATATTTTTTGTTAGAGAATATACAGAGTGGAATCAAAATACTTATCTAAACTTTAATGGTGTGTTTCATGTCACAAATTAACAGAAAAACATACAAACGTATGTCGGAATTGTTTCGTTTTTAAATTTAAAAAAAAAACATATTTCTAGTAACATCTACAATTTTTTTTATGTCCACTACACACCTGGGCTGCTCTTAATAAATTTCACAAAAAAAAAAATAACTGTAACTCCAACCGGTCTGGAAATTTGCCTAAACAAACTCTTGGCAGTAGTTTTCGTTTAAGTATATCAGTTGCGACGTGTAATTTAGTGACATTAAAATAAAATCGAGACAATCTCGTTTAAAATCACATTTTGTCTTTCATATTAACTGCGTTTTAAAAATTTCCGTTTATTTTCATTAGTAATAATTATAACGCCAGCAGAAATATTTCCGAAACGATATTATTTAAACGAAGTAGTGCTATTATGTCATACATATTTTATTTTCATTGTCGCCTACACGTGGTGATCCAATAAAAACTTTTCCTGATGGCGGCGACACAACTTTGGCTAGCAATAGTGCGGAAACGATTGCATAACGGAAAGGTAGATTATGACGCATTGTACTAAAAGTGTAGCGAGTGGGCAATGCGGAAAGAAACTGTCGGGAATTTTTATTTTGTTGTCTGTTTTGTGGTGTGTAACAACGTTGATGTCTGAATTAATACATGAAAAAATTTGTCAGTTGAAGATGCTGTGTTTAAGGATACAGGTTGTAAGAAGCTGACTGCCATTATATCAGCATGAGATAGAGTAATCATAAGTGAACAAAAGAGTTGTATATTACATGGGCGTAAGTTTAACAGTTTTCAAAATACAGCGAGTATTAATATTGGGGAGTTTCATCACAACGTGGCAACAGCGGTTAACGCCACACAGCTGATATGTGACGTGTGCACGCGGCAGACTTGTCCTATGGAAAAATGTAAACAATTATTATTGTGAAACATTTAGTAAACTTCAAGACAATCGTTTTCCAGTTTTTAAATAAATAAAATAAAACGTATCGATGTTGTAGTACGAAGATAGTGTTGTGCTTAAATTTTAGTTCGAATTTTAGTAATTATGAATCTCTCAAAACGGGAACTTTTGATCAAATTGTGAATTTGAAAAATACGTAATTAAAGTACCCACAGATTCACGTCATCCAAGTAATCATAGTATTAAAAATAATTTAGGTACTTACCAAAAAGCAAAATTCAGTAATTTTTAAACGCACAAGTACAAAACAAACTACAACATATGCTCAAAATGTCCACCACCATTTTCGATGCACGCGCGACACCTTCGAATCTAATTTTCGCGCACTCGCTCAAAAACACTCGGACACGGCCCAATTCCAGATACCAACTAAATTGCGATGCACGCGCGACACCTTCGAATCCAATTTTCGCGCACTCGCTCAAAAACACTCAGACACGGTCCAATTCCAGATACCAACTGAATTGCGTATTGCTGGTTGGACACTGCATATTGATAACATTTCTTTTGCCAATAATTATAAAAAAATATCCTCTGTTGAAAGACATTGATATAAAAGCGGGCACTTTTCTTCCGAACCGTAAATCATCGTTCGAAAACGTATAGGAAGAATTCAATTACCATAATCAAGATCGGTAGATTAGGTTGCTTGGTAACTTTATGGATTAGGCGGAACGACAATATTTTGCGCGGTTATTCAGGGGGTCCATCTTTTTCAGGCTTTACAAAAAATTGTCTAATGTCTTTATGATTATGTGAATGAAAAAAGAATGAAACATATATAAACACCAACGTTATTTATCCATCCGTTCTTTATTATTGTTTCGCGTGAATCGAAACAATCAACAGCGCTGCCTGAAATAAAATTCATTTTATTTGGAATCGTGCTAAGTAAGATAAAAACAAGTTCTTTACTACTTCGCTAATTAAGTGTCAACAGTTAAATTCCAGAAATATATTTCTTAAATCATGGTCCCGATATATCTTTTCAATGTCACCACTGCTACCTTTAAGCGGATGCGAATATCTTGTTATAAAAATTCCAAAATTGAGAGACTGGCTGTGCCGAATTTCGTTTTAGTGCCAATAAATACGGTCATGTTGTGAAACCGTTGTTTTTATTTATACAATTCTCTGTTATGACGTTTCTTGTGAGTCATGTGAAAGGTATGGTTTTCGTCAAAATATCGTAGGATCGTAAATACTACAATTTTATCACAGTGTTTCGATCACGTCACTCACAGTTTTGTTTTTGTGATATAGTCACCAAAAACAGTAGAATGTTAAAGTAATTCTGCAATATACAGAGTGTGCACTGATTTTAGTAACTAATTAAGAAACGGTATATTTATCTCGAAAACGAAGTGTTTTCTGGCATATTTTT